TAATTGGAAGGCAATATCATGTTCGAAAGTTTATTACAATTGCGGTTCTAACAAAGGATAATCTTAGTGATCATTAGTGAATTGTTTTGATAATTTTATCTCTGTTCTTTAACAAGAGCTTATGACTCAACACTAGTAATATTTATTTTATTTTTAGCAGAAAATAAGGAAATATACTACTATATTCTGTTCCCCCAAGAAAATTGAAAATAATTTATTATACTATGAAACCCGTATATTTGATTAGTAATGCTAGTTTGTACGGGTCAAATAAAAAGAGCTGAAGAAATCTATTGTATGCTTTGGCTTCCTGATTTCATTTTGAAAACAAATTTTGTATTGTATCCAATTTTATTAATTTTCAAACTAAAATATCGATATTTAACAGACATTGTTAATTTTGATATTATTTTTGTAAAACTCTCCCCGACTCCGATTTCGGTATTTTTTATGGGATGACTCTCAGGCTATGCTTATAAAAGTAGCTTTTAACTGCTGTGTTTGCGATTTCATTATCTTTCCAGAGTGAGTAATTCGAATGATAATTCCAGCCTCTTGCATCTGATTTCTCCGATCGGTTCGCCGGGCAAAACGACGACGAGGAGTCGGCGGTGAAACTGGCGGTGGGGCCCATGGTAACTAAGCGCACAATCATCGCAGAGCGTCGCCTGAAAGTGACCTTCATCTCCCTCGCCTTTTCTCCGCGCCCCAATCTGGGCCGTCGCGAGTCGCGCGCGAGGGACGACAACGATAATGAGCGGAATATTCCCAGATATGGGGCGCAGACGTCCGGCGCGAACGCGGACGCGGCCCACGCTCCGAGAGCGTATCCAGGCGACCTGCGTATAAATAGAGAGCGAGATAGTGCGGTGTCCGCCCAATAGAGACGCGACGGCGTTGCTGAGCGGGCGGCGGGTAGCTCGGCGCCCGCACCCGCCCCGCCCCCCACCCTCACCCTCGCCGCCCCCCGCCCCCAGCCCTCACCCTCGCCGCCCCGCCCCGCCCACTCGCCCTTTGCGTAATTGACGAGCCCCGGATGCGGAGGCGTGTCTTCTGGCCGGCCGATGCCCCCTCTTTCAACAATTGAAGCGTGCCGCAGAACAAACGTCACTGGCCAAATTCTGCAGAGGGACCATGAAACGGAAAAATTCGTGCTGAATCTTGTTAATCACATAGGACGAATGAAGCAGTTTCCTTCACTCGACTTTGCAGAACTAGAAAGGTTCTAGTAATAAGTAATATTTTTATTAATACTGTAACAAACAAAATGGAACTAAATGACTATTTGTGTTAGGAAAGCGCATTATTTCATTCAAACAAATTGCAAGTTTTATAAACAGGAACAAACTTGCAAAGGATGTGAGAAAAAACTGAGAGTAATATGTTAGCTGGTCACACTTATCTCCTTCCACTAGACACAAAATTCGGTTCTTTCAACTAATTCAATATCTCACATTATGTAGTCACTTTAATGAGACATTCATATCTCTAAATCTAAATCTCGATGTTCAGCTGAAAATTCCATTTGTGCTGAAGTCTGGGTGAGCCTCGTTGTTCAGCCGCATTCAATTGTTTTCTTGTGGTTTTGAATAATAACTCAAACTAATTTTGCTGAAAATTAACTGAGAAAGATTTCCTGTTATGAGACACAATGGATGAGTGATGCAATGGTGGCTTATCAGATGTTCATTTAAAAGGTGTTGCATATCAGCATCGGCTCGAAGAGCTTTCTCTTCTGTCGCGTTTCTCATGTGTGCAGTGAAATTACCATATTGAACTATGCTGGAAATATGATTCTACGAAATAAACTAATTAAACGAAATGGCATTGTTCCAACATTCTGAGAAATAATTGGTCCTTGTCCTTTCAAAGAACTGCCGATGGGATTATCTCGCGAAATTAGTTGATTGTCTCTACCAATGATCATATTTACAAAAGAATTTTTGTCCTTCTCGTAAATAAAATTTGTGTTAAAAATAACTGCTAAATCCAACACAAAAACATAATGAAGTATGAATCAATTAGCAGTTGTTTTACGGGACCCTGCAAGAGGGAAAGCATGGCATGACGATTTTCTCCAAAACTTTTTTAAAGGAGTCTCTAGAAAATGACAATCTAAAGTAGTTTAGTTTTAAGTCTTATACATTCGCCTTAAGGTGTTTTTGTCTGCAGAGATAGAAATATTTATTTTGAAATCGAATTATCTTGCAACAGTGACTGTAATGCGTTCTCTCCAAATCGTATTAGTCATCTCGCTTATTTGATGTAGTGTATTATTTTTTGAGGTAATATATTGTTATAATGGCAAAATACGAGACTTATAAAGATAATTACATATAATAAATGTAACTTTTGAATTTGTGTATTCCGAATATTTTATGGCCTTACTAATACACTCCAAAATACGTTCGGGCAAAAGTGACCAATCGTACTCGGGAAATACGTTTTTACATATTTAATTAAAATTAATTTTTAATTTAAATGTATTTGAAAAATAACAAACCATAAAAATAATGTTCAATTTTTCCAATTATCACTTTGAATCACACGAACTCCACGAGAGTGTATGGTTTATCTTTCTTGGTAACTCAACTGGCAGAGAAGCGTGCTCTGCCAAACTCATTTTATCAAGTGACATAATTGATCCTAAAAAGTTATCTGTGAAATGTTTTTGTACTGTGTAACAGCTTTAAAGCATGCTATTCCTTTTATTTGTCAATGAGTGGAAACTTTAATGCCAGTGCCTTTAGCTGGACAGAACCTGTTTTGCTCGGAATCGCTTGTAACTGCTGGAGCGCTACACTTTCTGGCGAGAATTTCAACGTAATTAGGTGTTAAAGGAGTTGTTACTACGGCATTGCTCAAACATTCTGTCATAAGTACTCGTGTGCGAGTTTGCTCAAAATTAAGAGAGTTGATCACTTAATATAATTATTTTTTTAGAAAATAAAGCCTTGCTTTACTACTTTCAATTTGGAGGTCAGAACAACTTTTTCTGCTTTTGATGTTCGTAATAACGCTTGAAATTATATTTGATGTTTATGATATTATTGCCCAGAATGAAAGATTAAGTATATGTAACTTTAAAACGTTTTAAAAATATTTTACACGGAAACCTTATTTCCAAAATGTACTCAGCTATGTCAACATTGTAAAACTCGATTGTTTTCATTTTTTAACTGCTTGTAAATTTATTATACTACCTATTAAATTTCAATGTAATATTTAATTCGTGTAATCAGATTCTTAGTTATTTTTATTCATTGAATTTTAAAGCCTCCTTATTCACAAAATAACCACTTCTACTGACTAAATTTTCTTTGCGTCCACTACTACTCACATTTTACGACTTGTACGGTTCGTTAAACTATTTTCGCTCAATTTACTTTCCCTGCTTATTTCCATTCGTATCAAGTGTTTTCATTAGTTCTACATATTATATTTTCACTTCATCGCCTGTAAGCGTATCATCTGTGAGGGTTTTCGATTTCTGCATGGTGAGTCGTCGCCTGTGGAACGCGCGCCACCGATCCCGCCTCTGCTGGACGTTGCCCGCCGAGGTCGGAACACACTGACCCCCGGGAAGCCCTCCGCTCGTCGCCCCACCCCCACCCCCACCCCCACCCCACCCCCACCCCACCCCACCCCACCCCACCCTCACCCCTCGCCGCGCTTGTTTCGCGATGCAAATAAAGAAGTCCCTTATTCAGGGAGATGTGAAGTACACGAATGAAAGAGTTCAGCCTGTTTCCAATCTATTGCCCGTGGAAATCGGTGATTTTTTTTTTACCGGGAGACACGGAGTCCTAAGCAAAGTTTCGGTCGTTGTGCTGCGACCTTCTTAGCGTAAACTTCATTGCCTCCGGCCGCGAAAGACGTCTACCCCCGGAAGAGATAGCTTACGATGTATCATACGGTGTAAGTTTTAGACTCCAGCATTTAACAATATATGTAGAAAAGTCGTGGCATGTTTTGAAACATCAGTAGTCGTGGCGGACTGTGACTGACATTAGGAACTGACATTTGTTCTTGGTATAAAAGGAAATTGCAAAGAAAAGGCTTGAGAATAATGAAAGTAATTTAATGAAAATTTAATATCAACACAAAAATATTATAACACACATGTATTAAGAGTTTTTCAAATAGTATCATATTCGTGAATTTCTGATCAAAATGTTTACTCTGATTGTACAACTAAAAAAAATACACAAAAGCCAAACACTGCGTTCGTAAGTTTCCTCGTTTATCCATTTATTGAAACTAAAAGCAGCATTGTAACTCCAGTGCTCACGTCGTTCTTAACGTTTCGGAGCTCATTGTGACGCCATCATCAGGTAAAATACTGTAATACATAAATAGATACATAAATTTGCAAAGGATAAAAGTACAATTGTAATTTTAGATTAATGACAATGATGAACATCCTTTGTAATAAAACATGTAACTGACATAAAATCACCGTTCATTATTCTAAAAACTTTCCACCACTCAAACACGCATCACAATAAATTTTGTACTTTAAAACATTTTGTATCACAGCATTCGACTATAAATAGCAGGTCGAAAGCTAGGGAGAAACTAACAAAGTAAAGTTTTTTTTTTTGTAGTTGACAGAGAGAGATATGTAAACCAGTAATGATATCTGTTTAAGTTATTGTGCTTTCTTTCAGATGTTGTAAAACGTTATTGTAAGAATTTGTGAACATATTCCATCATTTTACGGTATTAAGAGGTCATTTTCCTATCCTACGAAAGCAGTTACCCGTATCAATGGAATGTCATGCGAGTCCAAACAAAACGTTAATAAAATCGTTTCATATGTGTATTTTCTGACCTCAAATTATCTCGTGGAATGTATTGATATTATAGAGGGAGCGTGTTGTGCCCTTGAACCGATGACACGGCGAGCCTGCGCATATGCAACCCGCCACACTTGCATGCTGCGAGTGGCGTGTTCCAGGCGTTGACTAACGAGCGTCTTTTTTTCTTCTCTTTTGCAGTAAAACGTGAATGCTCCTCCACGGAATTCCGTTGCAACAACGGCCGGTGTATCCCCGGCCATTGGCAATGCGACAACGAAAAGGATTGCAGTGATGCGAGCGATGAAGATCCCAAAACGTGCCGTAAGTATGATTGTTCACATGCGGAGCTACCGCGCAGTGGTTTTCACAATATTTCCTCTTTCATTCGTTTCAAACAAAGAGTGAAGAAGTCTTATTTTTTGTATATTTTTGTTTAATACATCAAATCCAAGGAAATAGTTGATTGGTCGTGAGGAAATATATTAAAACATACCGGTAAACAATTAAAAAACCTTTTTTTACTTCGGCGTGAGTACAATTTTTCACATTTCAACCTATGGTATTTGGTATACATTCACTTTACTACTAAGGAATATCCGCGTTCACTTGATAGAGTTCATGCCAATATTTTGTCATTAATTCCGAAAGCTAATCGTAGCCACTAAAGAGTTATTATGAATTTGAAATAGTTATAATATGAAATAGAATCATTGGCTACTGATGTCACTGGTCTACATCAGTGTAATCAATATTAATTTACTCACTTTCTTGCGAACTTGGTTCCATGTCTTTATGACGAATAAAATATTTTGAATCTAGTATAAACCAGAAAAAATCCATTCTTTCATTCATTTCACGCTTACAAAATTAAGAATATAAACCGAGTTGATACTTAAACATGACGAGTCTTTTTAGTTTGTCTTTTGTGCTATTGAAAAGAACTTTTCTCAATATATTTTTCCGTTCTCTTGAATAGGGGATGATTTTACTATTTGACGAATATTCTGTAAAAATGAGGTGGAGAGAGTGTGTAAAATTTGCACCAATATAAGAATGGGAATTTGTTTTGTGGCGGTTGACGCTCTTTTGTTAACTGGGCGTTAAGAGATTTAAACTGGGCGAGTTAGTACTAAATGCGACTCAGCTTTGTGCGTTTGTAGAATGTTAATTGGAGACGGTTACGCACAAAGTGAATTTTGTACTATTTATACACTAAAAAACGAGACATTTTACTACATTAATTGAAAAAACAGTTTCTGGATGTATGAGACTCTTTGTTGGTGCGTTGCGTAAAATATTTTTTTGTCGTGTGGATTTATATTTCTCAAACAGCATAGAATAAAAAATGTGCATACATGTTTTATTTCACGCATCTGTCACATGTGCTTGAAAAAAAGAAAAAATCCATTACTGTTTTCGTTCGGAAGAGAAGCTGAATTTTAATTTAGAATTGAAATAATGAATTTAAAATGGTTGCATTAGTGAATTAGTGAATTAAATAGAAATTATTCTCTGTAGTTTGTGATCATGTTTTTTTCTTTGTACTTATTTTAACGAAAAATGAATTTATGTTTTAGATTTGTTCGACTATTTACATTTGAAATCCCCTTTTTCGTTCACAATGTATATCGCTTCAATGCATGGCTTTATTGTGTGAAACTGTTTTTATGGAAGTTCACCTTCAATTTAATATGCTATGCACTTCTGCTGAACCCTAGTTACAAATAAATTGTGCATTGCATGCTTGCATTCTTGTTCTCAATAAATTTGACAAAATAATCACTTCAAATACTTTCCTCTATAATGTCCTATAATAGGACCCTACAAGTTTTTATCGGAGCTTTATATTGAATATTAAATGGTTTGGTCATAACGAAAATATAATTCTGTGACAAATTATGAGTAATAATTTTAACAAAGTGTATGTCCATTATTTTTATTTACTCTTAATATTGTAGTTGATATTTTGGTTGTAGTGTGTTCATACTTTTATATTTTCAGTAAGGGTAGATGATAATACCGGAGGTATTTTCATGATTTTCCAAAGCATCACAAAATTTCCTTCACATGCCTCACATGTGTGGATTCCTTCACAATCTATCGCTTCAGAGGTCTTTAATCATTTTTTGTAATTGTAATGCTAATTATAATTACAAAAAATAGTTATCCTTAAGTCTTTCATATTTTATAAACGTTCAAATTGTATTATATGTTATATGCGTGTAAGTAAACTACTAAATGCTACAAAAATAGTGTTTTATGAACAGCTATGTTTGTGAAACAGCTCCAATCATGACTTTCCAAATTCAGTCCATTAAAGTATTGACGTTCTACTCGTAATCTAGAGTCAGATTTTATCATTCTCTAAATATTTAGTTTGTTATAAAAACTAAATATACGTGGAAGTGAATTTGTGTGATTATGGGTAAATTCCCCACTAATAAGAAAAAGAAAAATATCTTGTAAATTCGTCCGTAGAAATATTATTGAAATTAAAAATGAATTGAATCAAGGTATTTTTATCTTGATTTAAAATATGAATCAGACAAGAGAATTTCGGAGAGGTTGAAGACTTCTATTATAACCCTTTGTTCCTCCCTGCCCTTAAAGTGTGTCCTGTAGACATCATACTGCTTGTACGATCCTCTTTCTCTATTCCATTAACCATGTAAGCATCTTTTATGATTTTCTTTTTAATATGTCAACGTCAAATTCTTCAGTACTTTTTTATAGTCTTCTCTCCCTACACACTTCATGCCTTTGTTGATGCTTTCGATACCCGTATACGAACGTCTGTTCTATTTCTGCTCCTTATCCGTCAAAGCCCCTTGCTTCACTTTGGTCGTATCTCTCCCGTCAGCCTTCGCTTCTTTCCAAAACGTCCAGAGAATTTTCACTTTGAAGGGAACGTGGACTCCGATTTTTTTCTACAGACGAATCTCCCGAAAGTGAAATTATTAAAAACTGTGATTAGTCTGAACAAGTTAACCCAATAAGAGCCAAATATTGAAGATATGTGGCATATTTAAATTCCTGCAATTCCAATAAGGGCTGCTCTCTAATATAATATCTGTGTTTCCTCTTCATTGGCATGCGTTTGCTTTAAAATCCATTCACTTCAGATAAGAAATTTGTCAAGTTTTCAAAATACTTTAATTTTTCAATTCGTTATTTTCTTTCTATAGAGTATTCGAATTCCAAATTGGGCTGTTACCTTTTTTCAATTTAAATTCTCTTTCCCTGCTTGCTACCTTCAACGTGTTCCTCGTTCGCATTTAATTTCCCATCTCATCTTGGTCTCACGAAGTATTTTCCCTGAAAATCATAAAGAACTCGTTAAATGTTTTTTGCAATTTACAATAATTCATCTCGCAAGAACGCTTGTGGATAAAGTATGTATTCTCAATACTTCATTATCTTTCGCGTATACTGTGTATTTTCCAAAGTCTCAATTTTAGGCGTAGCTTATCTCTCATACTATAGTGAAATAATCGCTGACAGCTTTAAATATCTTTGTCACCCACTGTCATACGTTTAATACAGCCTTTAACTTTCATTTCTCATTGCTTTTCCAAAGCGTTGTTTCTATGTTTGCATTCAAATTTTATTATAATTGCATCGTTCACTTTATAAATTTTCGTCCCACGTTTACGATTGCCTACGCTTCACACCTTGACATCATTGCACCTGCCTGGCAATGTGATTGTAAGCTATGCCCATTTGTTGAATCCAAATGCTGCGATTTCAACTCGTTGCACTGTTACTTTTTGTACCTTCTTTGAAATTTTCTGTGTACTTAACATTTCTCCTATTCTGCACTTGAGCAAGTGAAATCACGATCTTCTCCCTTCTCTCTTGGTTTCCGCAACCACCCCAACCAACAAAACTTTCTGAACTCCTCAACCACATCCACCTCCTCAACCACATCCACCTCCTCAAGCACATCCACCTCCTCAAGCACATCCACCTCCTCCAACCACCCCAAATCCCTGACCGCCCACCCGCCTCGAGGTGGCCGTCAGCTCGCGCTAAGCGCCGTGGCTCCGTGTCGTCCGCAGAGGCGCGCCAGTGCACCCAAGGCCAGTTCCAGTGCTCCCCCGGCATGTGAGTTGGCGAGCGGCGGTGCGATTGCGACGCCAGCCGACTGCCCCGACGCGCGACGAGCGCGACTGCGAGTAGTGCTTCGTTCCGCCCCGGGGGCGCCCCCCGCACTCGCCCGAACAGAGCGGGAGGCGCGGCGGCCCCGGACGCCCTGCCCTGTCGCTGACTGCGCCGCTCTCTTGCAGAGCAAAAGGTGTCAGCCCGAGGAAGTTCAGTGCCGCGCGCAGCCCGGCGATGCGTATGCGCTCACGTGGATGTCGATGACAACCCACGACTCTCTGACGCCTCGACGAGAAGCGTGCAGTAAGCGCCGCACCCGCCACCCCACCCGCACGCACGGCTCTTCTCCCCCACCCCCACCCCGCCCCCGCATGCCCACTCGAGCATCTGGGCAACACACGCCCCACTGACGGCATTTTAAAAAAGTTCCATAAAAGTGTTTGCTTACGCTTATTATTTGAAAGGGCATTGAAAGCGTTCATAAAAGTAATGTTTGGGTTGGGTCGCTCTTTTAGTTTCGACAAGGTTAGTAACTCACTTGTATATATTTTTTCAATGTTAAATATACAATTTATTTTTAATAAGTTTAATTGAAAGTATTATTTTTATCCAAGTTCACGAAATAGTAAAGTCCACTGTAGTATTTATAAACTTCAAATTCTGCTAAATTTTATTATCCTAATATTATTTTTTAATGCCTTTTCATATATTTTCAGTTCTTTAAACTTTTAACTTTCGTAAAAGTTTCCCTTAAGAATGCAAGAGGCTGTGTAAGTTATTCTTCATGTGTATTCTGAAATTCTTTTGAGGATATAATTTAATGAATTTATAAATGCAAAGACTAAATTGTTGCCCTAGTACTCGAGTGTGTGGATGACGTAGTCACAGGGAGTTGGTAGTTTTCATTGCATGTTTTGCATGAAGTGGTGCGGGGTTGGTGTGTGTTCATTCAATGTGATCATGTAGTTCTCAAATTGTAGTTTACTCCTTTTCAATGTAGTAGTATCTGTCACGGACGCGTGTTTGCGATTTGGTACTTTGTCACGCAGAAAGATTTCTGAATCAACTTGAAAAATTTATTGAATCATTTCTTCATTTGCCAATTTTCGTTCATAAAACTTAATTGTAGCGCTATTGGATGATTAACATCAAAGTACAGCAATTTTTTCTAAACTTTCATGTACGCATAAAAATGTTCGGAGCTAATATTTTTCAAGGTTTTGTTGTTTTAAATAATCACTACCAATAACCGATACAATGGAATTGAAAATGCTTTACATATTTTAAAATTCCCAGCTTATCAAAGGTAAGTTGTCTTCAAAAATAAGAAGAAACTATACAACCGATAAATTGATGTTTTTTCTGTAACTACTGAAATAAGAGTTTGATTAACAGAAAAATAAACATTTTATAGCCATAAATAATTTTGATAATATTAATTATTCAGTCGTGGACACCAAAACACAATTTTCCTGAAGAAAAAGAAACAGACTGGAGAAAACTTAAGATATGTTCGTTATTAAGTCCACCTTCGCAGCTACTTGCATGTTAATTTGTTTCTGAAGGCATGATGTCCCTCTAAAAATGTTAACCTCATATCAGAAAGTCAAGAACAGTTTTACTCCGATCTATCTTGATTCTAAACAGCCTGGTTTTAAAATATAGATTTGTAACCAGAACTTGTTAGAAAATAATAAAGAGCTCGCAGCCGCTCGTAGGTGTTTCCACGAGCGTGCACAACCACAAAGACCACCCTCCAAAAAACAGGTGTCAGCTACAATAACATTGTTTGGCTCTCGCCTCTAAATTTGCATACTACTGATTGTTTATCGTCCGAAAATTAAACTTTTCGGTCAAGGTCGATGAACATGTTTTATCGACCGAGCCGCGTAAAGGAACTAGCGCAAACATCGGCGAAATATACGCCATAGGAAAAACTAGTTTGTTTATCAACATCATTGAGACATTAATCTTAATTTCGAAAGCCATCTTGTTCCAATTACATTTATTTTGAAATATAGAAGTAAAAAAACTTCTTGGTTATTTTCAGTGCAGTTGTTTCTTGGATATTCCTTCTCTGCGTCGTTACTCCATTACATTTTGATGTTGTACAATTTTTAATAATAATTAAAATGTTGCTAGGAGTATACTGTCCCGCATGGAGTTCCAAACATCAGCAACACTAATGTTGACTCTGATCTCCACCTTAAAATAATTTCTAAAATAATTAACATTTGAACGTTAATATGAAATATTGTTAATATGAAACTAAAAATAGTTAGCATGCAATGTATAGAAACGTTTTGTACGTATATCACGACTAAAAAATGTTTTTCGTAAGTGCGATTTCCTCTCGATTCTTTTTCGCACCACTCCGTCTCGGGTGATAAAAAACGCCTTCTCAAAAAACCCTTTTATTCGACTGTCTGGAACGTAGCTCATTGTTGAACTGTTTTCGGCAAGAAAATTGTTCGTTGCAGGACGATTCTGATAAAAGCGTCCTGTAATGAAATTTTCCTGACTCCACTGGCAAAGTATTTTCGCCATGTATCTACTGCCTACCAGGAACCAAGGAGCATTGCATTATATTAAGATTTTATGACTTGGTGTTAACCTGTTGTAATCTCGTTTGTCAACGCTTACAACGCTTTTACTTGTAGCACAAGTCTCGTCTTCATCTAGCAAAGGTTTCATGTCAACGTAAATTGAGTAATTTAGCTAGCTGTCATTTATACAAAACATACTCTTATTAATTGATATTTTATTTGGAACTATTTACATTAATCGTAATTGAACAATGTATTAAAGAGCAGTTTGACGGTATATTTCACTAATTTCGGGAAAAATGGAAGAAGCACGTTTTTTAAGACACCATCTCGCATTTCACTGCTTACAAAATTCCGTATATTCTTTCCCATATGAGGATCTATCTTTTGATTGTAATGGAGACGTGTCAAAAGCTGCGGTCTTGCTTTTTCTAAAACATCGTGCGGGGTTCCCATTTTTTTCTACATTATTTTTCATATCAAGTTCCGTTTCATCAATAGCATATGACGTTCTCGTTACCATTAAAGTAATCACAAGAACATCGATCAAGTATCTGGCCATGACCACACTACATTTCGTGTCAGTGCAGTATTTAATTTCAGGAAAACGTGCATAAAAAAGGTGCTCGAATAAAATATAGTACAATACGCGGCGAAAGACCCGTTTCTCGACTCGACAGAATTCCCCGCCTCGGCCTTCCGGCCTTAGCGAGTGAGCTCTAGTGTCTCATCATAAAAAGGTCGACTTGATTTCCTTATGATGTAAACAATTCAGCCTTGATAAATTTATAAATAACTGATCATTTAATCGACTCTATTTGTTGAAGTTTAATGAATTTACAGTACAATTATATCCAAGCAGATATGGTTAATCTTGAAGTACTATCTATGCATTTCGTAAGTTAGGAATTGCGACTGCATTCCTTGCTCCTTTCTCGTTGTGTCTCTGAGGGCTATGATTTTCAGCTATGACTTAAGGACTAAAGCGAGCACTCATTGGTGCCTCGAACTCTGTTAGGAAAACGCCAATTGGCAGAACTACAGTGCGCCAGGAAAGTCGTGCGCAGTGGGACCATGTGGATAATGATGATGATTGTGATGAGTGTTGTTAGCAAATTTACGTTGGTATCACGAGCACCAAGCAGCGCCCGTCCGCCCGAATGGTGGTGTAGAAGCAGCGGGTAGGGGGGGGGACGAAGTGACGTCACGCATGCGACACTAGCGCCCCGCGTGGCGGTCAAGTTGAGGGCGGGGGCAACCCCGGGGGCGGAGAGACTTCCCTGGCTCGCTCGCGCTGTATGATGATGAAGAAGCTGCCTTGCGCAACAGGGTTGATCCCGCGGCAGCGGGGCCGCGTCGCTGCGGTTCAGTTAGCGGCGCTCGACTGCAAACGGGCTGCCCTCGCCAGCACCTTGATCCTCGCGGCTGTCAGGGCCAGAGGCGATAACTCCCCACTCCCACCTCCACCCCCACCCCGCCCCAACGTTGTGGCGGGCCTGGGCGCCGGCCCCCGATCCTCGCGCGACTCCTTCCTTTTTTGCTCCACTTCGTGATGCGACATTCGTAACAAATTGCGATGTTACTAAACATCGATGTTCAAAAATTAAACTATCGATTTTGATAATGTATCATTTTTAAACCATAAATGATTTTAAACGTCGTTTTCAAATGTGGTTTAATAACCTCTAATAATACGTACGGCCGCAACGATATTTAACTTGACACTGGTAGGATTAATTCATAATTAAGATTTAACTAAAACAAACTTGAAAATATTAAGAAAAATGGATGATCGATGAAGAGAGACAACCGGTGTTCGTTTGGTTCGAACACAGAAACTTAAGTGATGACAACGGTTATTTCATATTTTAATTTTTACACAATTGTGATTATGATAATTTTTCGTACACGAACAAAATATGGAAAGTGTAAAACATCGTAGTTAAATAAAAGTCGGCTTTTCTTTGTTGATGTTTAAAACATAGATTTTTCTATAAAACATTTATATTTAAAACATAACGACATCGACGTCGCATACATCATACATTCGTTAGTATTTGATATTCGAGTTTTATCTCCGAAAAAATTCATCTTTCGTGTTGTTTCTAAAGAAAATCCGGAACAAAGCCTTTCCAAACTTAATCGTCACGTGCACTTTGTATACAATATAATTAGAGGAATTGCGATATTTCATACGAAACGATACCGACTTACCGATCCATTTTTTTCAGTTGCAGTAACGAAATACTGATATCACAGTTTTATTAAATATCGATATCGGTAATTTTAATATCGATTGGAATCGATACAAGTTTATACTACACGAAATAATATGGAGAGAGGCAAGCGGACGCAAATTGTGCGAGTTACATCGCTGACGACAGACTATACAGTTTTATGAGAAGAATATATTATGAAACGATGGTATAATGATGAATTCATTGGGATTATGACTTGCTTTAAATGTATTACATCACGAGCAAGTGTCATGTTTGTTTTTGGAATGTTATATAAATAAATAAAACGTAACATAAAGCTGTATGTAGTACTTTTCCTTCCAAATTGAAAATTAAATGGCTATTGAATCTACCTACCAGTTCTACCCTTTGTCTTACTTCCAGCGGTGTTATTTCCATGTGTGATTTACTCCGGATCAATTTTTCAGTATTTTGCTTTGTCGTTGCTTGGTTTAAAGTTAGAAGAAATTCAAAATTGAACCACTGATTACCAACATTATTTGACTTGCATTCACTGCGTCTGCGATTAGTCAGTGTTTCCTCCAACAACTATTGCATGAACTATTAGAATGAAACAAAGATTGAACTAAGTCGAGTTAATTAGTTGTTACTTTTACCAGATTTATTTGAATGAGTCAAGTTAATATTCAATTTAATTTTAAAATGTCGCAGTATAATGCTCTTACTACGTACCAGGTTAATATCTGAGTGGCCCCATCGTTGACGAGTATAATATTCTGTTGTTTAACAGAGGCGCGCAGACGGGGTTTACCGACATCCCCGCAAATCGTACCTTTCAATCGAAACTTAAGTGCATTAATCAATAATTCATGATTATCTCAGTTCTTGGTTTGCAAATTTTGCTGCGATTGGCTGAAAACCTGTACGGTAATAGAGATGTATCATAATAAAAATCGCAGTAAATTAAGCTGCAGACATTTGTTAAGAATTAAACAACTGCCATAGAAAAAGAAAGAAATGCGTTTTTCTCTCTCTATGAGCCGCGACTAGCTATTTCAAGAAGCGAAAGAAAGGGTTAAGTGTATATAATATCTACTCCGTATATGCAAATAAGATGTGATAAACCAATGTTCCAGTTACAGTAACGGTATTATCATAATATTTATTCATTTTATAATTTCCACAACCCATATTGCTCATTTCGAACATGGCGTGTTGATGTTTCAAATACCGCCATTAAGTCCGCGTATGCGGTCATCCACATTATTCGTCAGTGATATTCATAAGTATTTGTTAGTCATTCTATCAATTGTTTCATTGCTTACTGAGTCTGATCCTTAATCTTACCCAACAACTCCTTTATAGGTTTCATTCTATTTCTATATGTTCTGTTGTACGAACCAGCGAGTCCCTTCATGTTTTATCTAATATCCTTAATCCCAACTTTCGCCTATGTTCCAAGATGAAAACCTCAGTAAAATGAAGTTTTATCAGTTTTATTCATTTTATGGGAAGTTTCTTCAATTAAATTGCATTTTCAAAAGTTGCTTTTGTTTCAATAGAATCGTATATTTTGAACGTCATAGTTAAGTACTATTTAAACAGTTTATGGCCTCGGAAATTTTCCTTTTTTAGTTAAGGATAAATTATTTTAAAGGTATGTAAATTATTTCAATTCGTCGCAATTTGCACTGAGTTGAATATAATACTTTTATTTTCTATTCTGTTTCACCGAATAACTGAAACCTCATTGAAATAGCTTCGAAGCATGCATCCCGCAATACTAGCACATGCTTATATTCTCACGCACGCCCCCCCCCCCCACACACACACACACACACTCGCGCGCGCGCGTTAATTACCTTCCATTGATGATTGTGCGCTCTTTGTCACCAACTTGGTTGGCGTCTCTTGCAACATCGTTATCCTCTTAGTGACGCTCTATCTTTGATAGCAGAAGTCGGTTACGAATATGTTAGTTTGCATTTATTCTCCAAGATTGTTTACACATTTGCTTTATAGATGGTAGTGAAATACGTCTTGGCGCCATGGATTTCGTACTGTCACGCAACTGAAATTAATTTCACAATATTGTTTTATAAAAATGAAATGAAATAATGTACGTGTCTGTTTTCTCTTTTTTAGTTTCCAATGTTCTTCTTAAGCAATTACATTTTTAGTAGTTTTCAATTTTTGAGTGGACGATCATATTAAAATGTAAATTCCTTATTAAGTGAATGACATTTCTTGAGCCACATAGTGATTTCTTGAAATCTTGACAATAGTAGAATTGAGACACGGTAATGTTCTAGATGGATTTAGTTGGAAACAATTAAAAAACATCTATAGATCTAACTCAAGGAATATATTACATGACTAGTTAAACAGCAGGAGAAACATCAACAAGACACCTTTCGAGCAGTTTCGTGAAATGTCAGATTGTCAAAGTTCAAGATGTTAATAATTGTTCTTTGCATTTTGCGAACTCTGTGTATTCACCAGTCGCGCTCGCGATTTGGTAGGCTTGCAATTTTTTCTTACAACATGCCTTTGCTATCAACAACGATACAGAATGTTTCCGAAATAATTTCCCGGAGGAAACCGACTGTTGTTCGACGCACATCGCCCCCCTCTGCCGACCGCCTTCTCGGAGGCGTCGGCGCGAAGCGGTCTAGTTGTTCGCCGCCGCGTCCTTGCGATAACGCTCGCCGCCCGAGCCGCTTTCAAAATATTGACTGCTCTTGCCTTACATCACTCGCTGCGCAAAGTGGATCGCTGCCGGCGCTAAAATTAGCATATTGAGATGGGCAACGCTTGTCCTCTCGCCTTCCAGTCCGCCCAACGGGACCAGGTTCTGAGGGGCGGTGTGAGCGGAGGGGAACCGAAATGGCTCTTGTGTAAATGAGGAAGATGAGGATGCGTCTTCGCAGCTTCCCGGAGAAGGACTTCTTAAAATATCTAAAATTATCAGATATACTTGTGAACTTGGGGTTCTAAAAGAAATGTTACCAAAACCTGTCGATGTTACATTGTCAACTTCACGTTGTGTTGCTTTCCTTAATGTTTTCTCCGAAATTCTTTAATGAGGGGACGCAGAGCTTGGCCAGTGTCGTTGAAGGAGGCGAAGAGGCATCGCGAGAAGGCCCGAGTTGCAATGCTGGAACGAACGTTGAGAATTAAAAACGACCAGCTGATAACCCCGGGCCGTTCGTCTCGCGTTTGGACTGGGGCTGGATAGCGAGTCGCTTCCGCCGGGGAGCAGCAGAGGGAGGGGAGGGGGGCGGATTTTATGAGAACACGGAACTCCTCGCCAGATCAATGTTAAAGGAACACAAGGCGGTCACCAAGGTTCTCTTGCGGGAGCCTAACGAAGGATCGAAAATATTGGCTAGAGAAAATCCATTCTCCTCGAATATCCCCTCCGTATGAAAATTGTTTTCAAACATAGTTACCATTTTTCTCGTTTTCTATCCTAGATTTGTGTTGTATTGGTCCACATTTACCCGTTTAAACTGTCAGCATTTATTTTTCTCCCAATCTTTCCATACGATTTTAATAGGTTACCTTTTTCTTGTTTTATTGTCGATTTGCGCCTACATACTTCCTCATAAAAGTTTAATGAAATGTTCCAATTGCGCAGTCACTGACAATTGTAAATATTTCACTCAATCAAATAAGGTGTATCACGAAATGAAATAAACAAGCATTCATATATAAATAAGTTTCTGGATTACACTTAAAACCCTGTTTAAATATTATTGCCACATCGCGGCAAAGGGGAATAAGTGAGTATTTTCCGCAGTATTATGTAAAATTTTAGCAGCATGGAAAAAGAAGCACAAAATTTGTGCAAAGTGGCCCTACTCCTAATTTCTGAAACTCAAATAGAAGTTCTTATATTGATTAGTATAGTTATGCGGTCTTTTAAGCTATACATTCCCTTGATTTGCTGACGTGTTGATTGCCTTTGACAGACTGTTTTGATAGGTTGACGATATAAGTAAAACCGTACACTATACACGGGTTGCAGAATAAATAAATTTTAATTTTAGTTATAGACGTTAAGCAATGTTGATTAAATTTTATACTTTTATCCATGGTGTGCTTTTACCCATGGCTTCTTTTGTGTACCAATTCGTGGTAATTGGGAAGTTTTGAGTATTTTGAACTTTTTTTATTTATATGCTTATTTGTATTATTTTTATTGAGACTGGATACTCTGATGGATTGAATTATCGCCTGGAAACGTAACAAAATCTTCTACATTCTTGCGAATAGTCACATCCATCTCAAAGACGACGTCCCCGACGTCCAGATATCACAAATTAGTCTAGGAAAGAGCTCATTTTCTCTAAATCAGGTAAACTATAAAATTTCTCAAAGAAGTCATTCAAAGCCTCCTAAAAAATATTTTATCGAATTATTTGCGTTTGAAAATATTTCCCTATACTTAAAATTGGTTAACATTTTGAAATTCACTTTCGGTAAGGTAACATCACAGAGCTCATAATTAATTAGAAAATTGCCGGTCCATTTATGGAATCTTCTTTTTAACAACTTCTAGTAAATGTAGATCTTCACTTGCGGACTGAATTTTTTTTCCCATCGCTAATATAGAGATCCTTAAGTATGTTATCCTCTGGTGTAACTAACGTGTGCATTAACCTCTTACTTGTCACTAATCATGCATGACGATTGAGCACCTAATCGAGCTCTGAAACTAAATGGGTGGAGGCAAAACTGTTCATGTTGCAGACGCTTTTGTAAGTATTGTCATATATTTTTTTACTATTAAAATCAATTCCCCATTGGTTCAGGTAAGTAAATGATTTTAATTAACATTTTATTATTTAAAATACGTGTTTTTTCTAATGCATTGCTTCTTGACGATTTTTTCTAGAATAGTTGCCTGTGCCGCTGTTTACTTTCTTATGTGCATGCTTATTACAGCATTGTTTGCAACACATTATGAAAATGAATACAGCTTATTTTTAGTATTTTAGAGTTTTCTCGGACTATTAGATAGTGTAGAATGTTTCATTTCTTTAATTTGTTGTTAATGTGTTCTCTCATTGCTGTTATACGCATATATTTGTTAATTGGTGTATGTTGCTTTGTTGCTAACATCAAAGTGTCATACTTCTTTCTTGCTTTGGGTGTATGTACATAGTACAGCATTGTCAATACATGAAGGTGTTCAAAAACTATGAGAATCGCAAGAGATTTTTATTACTTTCTTTTCGAGTAGCAATCATATTTTAAGATACGACTCTTCCCTTTTTTACCTTTATTTGGATATAAGAACCAATAATAATTTATATTAATGTACGGTATATTTTAAAAACATTAAGTTCAAGTAATTGTCATTATTGTCAATGATGTACTATACCTTTTGCCCATTAAAATTTATTTTTTATACAAAACATTTAAAGGTTATGTATTCCCGTCATAAACAATATTTAGTATCACATTATTACAGTAATGTTTCCTTCATAATTTTACATAAGAAACTTGAGTTTTTTGCAATCCTCTTATAACGATGTTAAGGAGTTAAACAATATGTCTTTTGAGTCAAATCAAAAATCGAAAAGAACAATACTGTTTTTTTAATTATTTGCAAGTGAAACAGATAGTTAATGAGTTGGTAGTTATTTGAATTGTTGTTGTTATTGTTATTATTATTATTATTATTGTCACCTTCAATTACTGTAATTTTTCATATTTCCTGTTTTTCACTTCTCCATAATTCCTGAAAGAATGTGGGAATAAAATGTCTTAAACATTTCGAGAAGTTTTAATAATATCAAATATCGATATATATGTGTGCCTTATTCTAAAGTACCGTGAAGATTGCCCAGATGGGCAAAATTTATTCATAACTCATTATAACAATCAGTGAATTTCGTGCAATGGAGAGTGCAGCGAATATTAGGAGTCGGCAGCTATAAAAGGAACTTGTATCAGCCTAGGTTCATATAAATAGCTTTTGTTATGTAAAAAGTAGCCTTCAAACAAAAAATAATTTTGTTTTTAAAACATTCTTGAATATACTATTGTAAACGGAATCGAATTTCAGATTTACATCTGTGTGGAGAGTAATTTTGAGATGAAATGCATCGAACAATATTGTCTCTATGAAGTTATAAGATTTCAAGAGACTTCAAACTTTCTGTAAATAAAATCAATATTTCAATTTTATCTACAAAATAAATGTTTAAAACGAACTTGTGGGCATAGCAATCGAAGTATTTTTCCGAATTCATTGCATTAAACTGGAAAATTGTCAAAAAATTTGAACCAAATATTTTATAATCAATATTATGTATAAATGAAGGAATGATTGTGCATCTTCCTATATTTATAATAATCAATTGAAATAGTAATACTTGTAGTTACATAATGTGATTTTCAAAAGGGGAATGTCGGCATGTACGTTTACATGAAACTCAGGCCTGATACATTTCTTGTAAATAATTCCCGAAAACTTCCAAATATGAGAATGCATATATACGGAGCTGGAAATTGATATTTTTCAGTCTTACTCACTATCTTTAGATCTGCCCTAAAGAGTTGCATGCAGATTCTTTTAAATATTACTACAGAGGAAAATAGTAATATCTTTCCTCTACGATACATCCTAGATGTTTTCAAATTGTATAGATTATATTAATTTTGTAATTTTTTTTTATTTGAAGGCAATTTTTGATCTTGATTTAGGCTTATCTAAGATTATAGGATTATAATTTGACATGAATTGCAATTTTGATACCTTGCACAATACACTAAAAGTTTTGTGAATCAAGAAGAAAAGCATGTGAATTGTATTGTGATTTCAGATGAGACTTGTCGCTCAGATGAGTTCACTTGCGCGAATGGCAAGTGTATTCAGAAGCGCTGGGTATGTGACCATGATGATGATTGTGGAGATGGCTCAGATGAACGAAATTGTCCCGAAACTACGTGCGCACCCCACACAGAATTCAACTGCTCCGACAACAATTTGTGCATCACTTCACGTTGGTTATGTGATGGAGATCTTGATTGTCATGATGGCTCTGATGAACAGGTTAGTAACATAGTAATCATGGAGCTCTGAAAATTTTCCTTGCTCCATGATAGTTATAAAAATTAAATTGTACTCGACTAAAAACATGAAAATGAACTATTCATCAAATGCTTTATTAGAGCACCCACAATTCATCAACTATAGGCGACTTACAGAACTTAGAATATTCATGCTCTAATATATAAATGAAGTCGTCAAAAATTATGTTTCATATATGAAATCCTCAAAAAGTGTACCATACTTTTAATTTATTTTCTGTAAATTTGTACAACTGTAAATTTCGACTCGTGTGCAATTATTCTGACTCTAAGTAATAAAATAAGTCATTTAAATTTCCTGTATATGAAGTTGCTTAACTCTCCGTTCCAAACAGGGTTGCGCGGATACCAGTCCAAACATTTCGCACTGCTTATCAAGAGAGTTTGAGTGCAGTGATCGTTTGACCTGCATTCATCAATCTTGGGTGTGTGATGGAGATCGAGACTGCCCTGACGGTAGTGATGAGGATGCAAGTCGTTGCCCCAACCAGACTTGTCGGGCGGACCAGTTCCAGTGCCGCAATCGTGCCTGCATTGCTGGCCACCTTCACTGCTCAGGCAGCGCAGAATGTGCAGATGGCAGCGATGAAGAGAATTGCAGTAAGATTCCTTGTAGTTTTAAAATACACTTTTTAGCAAGATCCGAATTTTAAACTATCATTGTTTGCAAGGGCCAAAGTTGAAGGTTTGAAACCGTTTGCAACGTCGGTTAGTGCCACCTAAAAAGGGTGTTGCAACTCCATCGAATGACGGACACATAATCTAGATAATTCCATTATTTAATTGTTACGCTGTAATGAACTGCGTAATTATGCCAAATTCAAACTGTTTTATGCGGGTTCCTGAACCATCATGTTTCTTAGATTTTTACTCCTATGCATGTACTGAAAAATGTACGTATGTAAAGAAAGTTTCGTAATGGTGCGGACAATTGATTTTAAGGGAAATACAGTTTTTGAATCCTGGGATCCTAAAGTATGTGCAATTAGTTTCAATTATCAGCCGATACCGAAAGTGTTTTTTCTTTCTTTTTCTCCTAAACGTCCGTCCATCTATGAACAACACCAGCCACCTAAACTCTAGGATTTTCATCAAAAGAATTTTCCCGGATCGATCTGGTCCGTCTCCAAACCCTGCAATTTTGAAAATAATCCTTTAAATTTTTTGGTCAATACGGCTTTTTACGGTTTTGTTTTAAAACCGGCTCCAATTTTTTTTGTTAAATTTCTTGTAACAAATAGAATACAAAAGATGTTCTAAGCCTATTATCTCTCTTAACTCTGAATTACTTTTTTAAATGACAATGTATGCATTATTTTGACTCCCACTTTCATCATTATAGAAAGTAAGAATTGTTCCTTAAAATGAAATTTGATGGCAACAATTATTACTTTAATGTCGTATAGTTTTTTAATGTTAGTAATTTTCGCGTAATTTCGAGGAGGAATGCGATATCGCCAACAAAACGTCAATTTTTCTAAATACCCATGTCTAAAATTAACACATCAATGTTAATATTAAATCACTTCATCACCTTCGCAATTTTCTAACATGGATGTTTTTAAAACTGGATTAGTAACCATTAATGGTTAACATGGAAGTGATGTAATTTGGAGGTTGTTTCGTTTATTAAATTTTGAATGAGATGTAATTGACAAAACAGTGTTGAGTTACGATGTATACGAGAAACAAAACTTTGTTGATACGATTGAATAATTCAAAAATTATGTAGACTTCATTTATCAAAAATGAAAACTAACTTTTAATTTGAAAAAAATATAATAAATACAGTATTTACACTTATTTACATACTGGAGTATTTATTCATTTAAACGTAAACAAATTTAAACATTTATTTATTATTAAAATTTTGTTTACACTGATCTAAGTAAAGCTTTTGACTTTGTGGGTCACTTTGTATTCTTGCACAAACTTCAGCGCTTTGGAGTCTGTGGGGCCCTTATTGCATTGATTTGAACAATACTAACTGCGTGCAGACAATGCAAATGTCGCATCTCAGCCGATTGTTGTACATGTAAATATTTTTATTAATGATGTTAATCAAGTGTTAAGTATCAACGAACACCCCTTTTTTTCGATCTCAAGATGTTTAGAGTTATTAAGTCATCTAAAAATAAGACAAGACTACAAGAGTCGTTAGATAACACAACCCTGAAATTTAAAGGTCATACGTTTTTAATTTATACAATATGCGTAGTTTTTTGGGGTATTAATTCATATCTAAGCTCAGTCTTATTCCATCACGCACCATTTTTTCACAACGCATTATGAAATATTGTAAGTAACCAACATTACATTATCATATTTATTAAAGGTATAAGTAAGATAAAACAAGTTTCTAGCAAATAATACACACATTTTTTATCACACAAACTATTTCTTTTTAATTTCGAAAAGCATTATTTGTGTTTTGTAATTTTTTTTCTTTTTTGTGTGAGGTTGTGAGTATTACTCTTCCTCTTAAGTATGCTCCGTGACGTGTCCCGATAGAGTATCAGCAGTAGTCGCCCAACATGTTTAGGTTCTATCGATCCTGATATCTCTTTTCCATTTCCTTAATATCTTGATGGAAATGTTCTCCTTGCTCCTCGCGCCATGATTTTCAGGAAATAAATCCAAATATGCAAGCAGGAAGTGAATCTTCAAGCTCATCCAACATCCCAGTTCTTTCAAGTTCAACATATTTTTAACAGTGATTGCATTATACAAGTCTTTGTTTTTCTAGAAAGTTCTAAACCACTCTTTCAAAGGAATTCCAAGCTCTTTCCTCAGCATCTGTGATCGAGGTGGTAAATTCATCTAACATAAGTCTTCTCACGTCTGGTCCCACGAAAATTCCTCCCTTTAACTTCGTTTCTGAGAGGCGTGGGAACTTATCAAAGAGATTCTTATAGCACGTACCATTTCTTGGTCAAGCTCTTGCTGCCCCCATAGGTATTGAAGCATACTCGTTGCCGTTGTGTAATAGCACTGTCTTTAAACTTTTTTTTTTTTATGAATCCATGAAAAGTCGACAGACATCCCATTCGTTTGCGCATCCTGGACCTCCGTGGTTTACATCACCATCTCATACCGTAACCTCCATACTATCATGTGGAGGGCAAATTGCAGAAACTGTATTACTCGCGCAACTTTTCTTTAACGATGACCTTGCTTCCCCCTCTCTGGCATAATAAACAGATGAAGGCAAAAGCTCGTAGCGAGCACTGATGACAACATTCCAAACACAGCTTCACTGGCGCGAAATAGAAACAATTTTCTTTCGAAGACGCGAACCTCTATCCGCTATTTTCCCCAAAAATCTAAAGAAATGACGGAAGCAGGTAAACATCACAATACCTCGAACACCTGAGAAAGTTAAAATGCAAATTATTGAGAACGTTGCGAAGGCATGACTGATTCTTCAGAGATAGGCATTGCTTTATAAAATCTAGTGGCCGATTTCGTAACTAATACCCCCATTCTACCCGCATTTCTTTAATTCATCATTCAAGAGAAGTTGCGCCTAGTAATATCATCAGTTTATAGATGCCGTCATTAAACTATATGCTAAAAACAGAAAGTTGCTAATGATCTACTGCACAATTAAACTCAATTTGTGTGATAACTGCGTGATGGAGCATTTCTAGTCACATTTTTTATTTCATCGTACAAACAAAAAGTTTTTTCACATCGGCAGGCCTGGGCTGGGTAGGATAAATATAGAGTTCCCATATTTGTGTGTAGAAAAGAAGGTCGTTTTTTTGTGTCAACGCCTGATAAGATGTAAAACTATTGACCGTTTTTTTCTGAATAATAAATGTTTAGTTCCTTTAGGAGATTGTGGAAAATTATTGCAAATGTTTACGAATCATGAAAAATAGATCTACTGAGAACATCTAATAGTATTACTCGCGCAACTTTTCTTGAACGATGGATTGAAGAAATGAGAGTAGAGTGGGGATATTAGTTACGTAAACAGCCACTAGATTTTATGAAGCAATGCCAATCTCTGGCGAATCAGTCACGCCTTCGTAACTTTATCAGGAGTTCGAAGTGTCTCCTGTAAAAGATCCGTACCTCCTTCGGTCATTTCTTTAGATTTTTGGAGAAAATAACCGATAGAAGTTATATCTTCAAAAGAAAATTGTTTCTACTTCGCGCCAGTGAAGATGTGTTTGGAATGTCATCAGTGCTCGCTGCGAGCTTTTGCCTTCATCTGTTTATTGTGCTAGAGACGAGTTAGAGATCTGTAAAACTCCCTAAACCAAGTAATTTTGAAGAATTATCATTATTTACTCATTTTACTTTCTCACTGCTGACTTTTTTTAAATTTGTTATACCGAATACGCTAATACTTTTCCGAATTTTCCGAATAGTACCTCATCGAATACGGTCGACTGCGTACCGACCGAAATCTCCCGCCCAACACAAGCTCTGCAAGCCAATGTATAGAGAATGTCTCCGATCAGCACGCAATTCTTAAGCAAATATTCACACAATATAATACAAAACAATTTTAATGAATTATTTTCATTTTATTGTTTTTAATTCTATACTACGTTATGTTATTGTTATTAAGTTATTAATAATTACTGTATTAATTATTACAGTATTAAATTAACAATGTAAAATTGAACTTTAGCCTGTAAATTCGAAATAAATAAATAAGTAGATAGATAAATAAATAACGTCTACAGAACCACCATTTGCTGTATTAAAGGCTATTTTTTCTGATTTGAGTTTTTGAGTAAAAGTTTGAGGACATGGAATAGGCTCTCCAGGTCTCTTACTTTCTAATTTTTCTTCAGAAGTGCGTGAATAGAAAGGAATTTTTATTCATGAAAATTGATAGTTACGAAGTGCAAATATTTCATCTCATCAGGATTGTAGTCCAGAACTTTCTGTTATCCAGATGGATGCTCTTTGCTGCTTTTCTTATTAATGTTTCGATGAATAAACTGTCTCACACCAGGGAATAATGAACAAATGATGGTAGATAAGCATTTATTAATTTTATTAAAATTTAGTTTTTATACTATAAACCAATTATCAATGGCAAGCAATAAAACATCTTGGATTCATCACCTTCAATTTCAAGCGAAAATCACAAAAATTGGTTGATTAGAATGGTCAAGCTTCTTTTGGATTGAAAAACAGTTAGTGCTTCAAATATAAAGACGTTTGTGTTTTCAAAATATCAGATGTTTAAAAAAATTTCAGAACAATATTACTTACAAATGAACTTACTTCTCTTCTAACAAAAAATTTCAGGAAATAATTTTCAGTTATTTTCCAGAATATTTGAAAATGTGACAGGAGCTTCGCATAAAGAACCCTTAAGCAAAAATAAAATATCTTAATGGTCTCTGGAATGCCACAACTAGATCTTTATGTATTAGTCTGATCTTTATGTTTTAATCTGACAGTTATTATATTAATATATGCTGCACATTCATCCAACACCCCATACAAACATACCAATTTTTGGGTACCAAATTGTGTGTTACCAATCTTGACCATTTTTGGAACCACACTTGTATATCTTAATGTAGAGTTGCTGCTGAAAAGAACCTTAAACACAGATTTTACGACCGAAAATTGAGATCTTATTTTGAGGTGAATTACTTTAAGAGAGAAGAAAGAACTCGTGAATGATGATGATAATGAGAAAGACATATCATTAAGTACAAAAATTGACAATAATTCTCAGAAACATTTGAACCCCCCGAGCAATTACCTTCAAATTTTGCACAAATTCCTTTGAGCAGTCAAGAAAAACATAGGTTTTTACTAACCCAAAATATTAACTCCTATTAAGTGTTTATTCCTGGTCTCAATGCTACTCACAAAGCATTGCCATATGATACAGAAGGGGTAGGCCAGGTAGAGCTGGGTAAGGTGGCATAAACATATCGTAACCGTCTTACACTGGTTATGATAAATACCCAGGCAATGCGGGATGAACAGCTAGTTAAGAATATTTATCATATGGATCCACATCTCTCCCATTATACCAATTATTGGTTATTTAATGTGAATAAAATGAAATATATATTAACATGTGTATTTCAAACCTTGTTTTATAGCAACACCACTACCTTCATGTAATCCTCAAACTGAGTTTGATTGTGGAGGTGGGATGTGCATTCCTCTCACAAAAGTGTGTGATAAGAAACCTGATTGCCCCAATTGGGAAGATGAACCTGGAGAACGCTGTGGTCGCAATGAATGTGCAACAGACAATGGTGGATGTTCTCAGAAATGTGTAGATACTCCAGGAGGCTATTATTGTGCCTGTTTACAAGGATATCGTCTTGTGGATAATCGTACATGTGATGGTAAGATATGTTCAGAATATTGAGGCATGAATATTTAAATTGTGAAGAATGTTGTTTTTTCCTATATCTTTAACATACAATTTTGACAAAATACTTGTGGGATTTGTATTTGCAAGGTTTGGTGGAAAATAAATGCCTAAAAAAAATTTATTATTTGAATTATTTAAGAAATATTTCAGAAAGTTTTGCTTTGAATTACTGCTTAAAAAATACCTATGAAGTGTAACATTTGGTAGTATAATTTTTTTTTTCTGTTTGTGACTTCTTCCAGATGTCAATGAATGTGAACAACCGGGAGCCTGCTCTCAGATCTGTATTAATGAAAAAGGTACTTTTAAATGCCAGTGTGTTGATGGCTATCTTCGAGATCCAAGAGATCATACAAGATGTAAAGCTATGGAAGGGCATGCATCCCTCCTCTTTGCTAGACGCCATGACATTCGTAAGATTTCATTGGATCATCATGAGATGACTGCAATTGTTAATGATACAAAAAGTGCAACTGCATTAGATTTTGTGTTCAGAACTGGTATGATTTTCTGGAGTGATGTCAGTGATCAAAGAATTTACAAGTTAGTATATATTTATATATATGTATTTTTTTTTTTTTTTCCCAAAATGTAAAAATTAATGATATTTATATTATTTTTGTTTGTTATATTTTATTTTTTATATTTCATGAAAGTTTCAAAAAGGTATTTTCCTTAATAACATTTGAAAAATACGTGTGATACATTATTTAAAGATAAACTTATTTTCTATCAAAATAATTAAATTTTAAAATTAATAATATTTTGTTGGGTTTAAAAAGGATGACATATTTTAATACTACAATCATTTTCAGAGCACCCATTGATGAGGGAAGTGAGCGTACAGTAGTAATAAAAAATGATTTGACAACATCAGATGGTCTTGCTGTAGACTGGATTTATAATCACATTTATTGGACAGACACGGGCAAGAATACAATTGAACTTGCAAATTTTGAGGGCAATATGCGTAAAGTTTTGATTACAGATAAGCTAGAGGAACCTCGAGCTATTGCTGTCAATCCACTTGATGGGTAACAAACTCTTTACGTTTCTATATTTGCTGGATTTAATTTCTTATAGAAAATCAAATGCATACATTTTGGTTAAATTACTCAACTGTCAATATACATTTTTGTTTTTTAGTTGGATGTATTGGACCGATTGGGGTACTGAGCCAAAAATTGAGCGTGCTGGGATGGATGGAAATCATCGACAGACAATTGTTTCATATGAAGTGAAATGGCCAAATGGTCTGACACTTGATTTGGTGCGCAAACGAGTTTACTGGGTGGATGGAAAATTAAATGTTATATCTTCTTGTAATTACAATGGAAGTGGTCGTCGAGTGATTTTGTACTCGCCAGATACCCTCCAGCATCCCTTCTCTATTACAACATTTGAGGATTGGGTCTACTGGACTGACTGGGACAAACAAGCTGTGTATCGTGCCAACAAATTCACTGGCAAAGATGTAGCACCAATTACATCCACACACTCGGTATACACCTTATTAATTCTTAATAAGTTATTAAAGAATATTTTCTTAAATAAATTTAATGTTTTACTTTTCATATTTCTTTCAGTTGCAAAATCCCATGGTTATTCATGTGTATCATCCATACCGACAACCTGATGGAGAAAACTACTGTCAAGCCGTCAATGGGCATTGCTCACATTTGTGTTTACCTGCAGCTCAAATCAATTCACAATCTCCTAAAATTTCGTGTGCTTGCCCTGAAGGATTGCAATTGATGCCTGATGGTCTTATGTGTGCTGAAGCTGGTAAGACAAGAATTTTAATTATAACGATTAATTTGTTATATAACTTAATTTCATTTCATTTCATTTCATTTCATTTTATAATTTTTCTCCAGTTTCTCTCTGCAGAAGTTCTTTAATATTCCATGTTTTTTTTAAAGACAGCATGTTTATATTTATGATTTATTAGAATTTCGGTACTTTCTATATTTTCATTTGTTTCTTTTCTTTAATCATTTTTTTTCAGTTAAAACTACCACATTAATACCAGGTGCAACTAAATACGAAACAACTGATGCAAGTTCATGGAGCCCAAAAATTAAATCTTCCTCTAAAACCAATTCCACCTCCAGTGAGTATAAGGTGGAACCAACCTCAACACCAGTCCTTCCTTAACAATCAGCGAATTATGAGTATTCTAATACCAAACTAACTAAAAATTGCTAATGATGCATGGGGAACTATTTAATGCTTTATGAATGTATGTGGCTTATCTTGAGTTAAATCTAGGCTATCTCTTCCTAAATGCAAGAAACTGAAAGAGAGAGACCTACAGTTTGTTCATATTTCTAGATTATTATAATTAATAATTTTAATGAATAAGTCATGTAGTTTATAAACAAATCATGGATTGTTTTTATGTATTTTTTTCCTTCTTGAGCATTGCAGATAGCCTAGGTAGCCCAGAATATACACCACTGGTACAGTATATAGATATTTCTCAAGGTGATGGTACTTCTCTAAATGTAATTGTGAATTATCTATCCTTTCCTCATTTATTTACTTTTAGGACTTGAATCTTTATACACAAATTTTTCTCCAAATATTCATGCAAAAGTGCTTTAAAAATATGGCCAATGTGCATTGGAAAGTTATTCTAAAGAACCAGGTGATTTTTTTTCACATTTACTTACTTTGTAGGATTTCTTTTTCATTTCCTCTCAAAAATCCTCTTGAAGTTTGTCAGATAAGCTTCACCACACATTTATTTTATAATAAATTTTATTTGATGAAGGCCTTCTCTAGACAAGTACTCACTAGTGCAAAATATTGTGCTTTCTTTGGCCTGAACTTCGGGAAACATTTGACTCATTGACTGAGCAGTTATTAGTTCTGGGTTCATGTGTAACACTTTACATACTGTAGTCAACATTTAATATTTTCCCCAGATTAAAAAAAAAAGTTGAGTTCATTCATTAGAAATAAGCAATGTGAAGACTCAAATTTGAATGTCATAATTCCCATGCAATCTCAGTGTCAAATCTCTCTTTAATCTTGAATAATAACAATAATTTTGTGACTTACTTTCCTTTCACTTTGTGCTAATGATTTTCGGATTAGATGCTCACAACATATTTATGTTTTTCAAAAAAATGTTTATATATAATGTTTGTTGTTTGTTTTTTTCATAACGGTCTCAACTACACTTTCATTTTCTAAAAGTAAATATTGTTGATGGCATTTTTAAAAATTTGCACCCTTTTATTGCATAAACAGATTCTTTTTAACTCTGAATGATCCCAATTGTCTGGCACTTCATTAATTTTCACGAAGCAAAATGGAGATTGCTGTACTTTTAAATAATGTCGATTGTTGTGAAAATGGAATTTACTTCATATAATATAGCATGTCTGGCAACATTTCATATATCTTGGGGAAGTATTTATGAAAATTACCTCACAGCATGCTCAACATATCTATTAAATACTTGACATAAATCTTTGGGAGCAAAAAAATGAAATATAATAAAAAGAATCCAATAAATTAAATATTGTTTTATCTTTAAGGTTTTGGTCAATTAATTATATTTTGCAAAATAAAGAAGGATGCATGGAAATAACAAACTAATAAAGCAGGAAACATAAATGTAAACCTATGAAGATAATTTTTACATTGCGGTATACTCTTTTTTCTTTTTCTCCTTTGATATTGATATTATCAAATCTTACATTTTGCAATGAATACTAAAACAACTATTTATGTCGCATTAACTGAGAAGACAAAAGGTGATTACCGTCTTTCGCTAATGCCTTTCTCTTTCCTATACTCTGCAAAAATTTCTTCTTCCGGTGCTGGAATTTAGAAATTATATCTTGTCTATGTTTCTTGTATAATTCTGTTCTGTTTTCCATGTTATAGCATATAAGGAGACAATTATTGAACTTTCCTGTTCCCCTAATTTTTGCTTTCTAGCTTTGTAGAGTAATTTTTAATGTCTGTTTGTGCTAGTCTAATTTCTTTGATGTTTGCTGACTTGCAATCTTACAATTATTTCTTTTGGGGCAAGCGCAAGAGCTGAATAACTGGTTGTTGTATCTTCTATTTAATATTCACTCTAAAAGCTATTAGAGTAGTTATTATTTTTGTTGCAAGATAAATTAAATTTATCAATCTTGATCAGGTTTTTTGTCACTTCCTTGATCCATTGAGCAAATGCTGAGACCGACGCTGGTTTCTGGAAATAAGGGTAGCTTCACTATATGTGCTATTTTTCTTCAGCTGAGTGAGGAATATAGTTATTCAAATAATAGTTCTCCATATTTTTGAAACAGAAGTTTATTATTCCTTAACATGGGGCACTATAAGTGATAATAGCCAAAATCTATAATGGTTTTGCCTTTGCACGTAGTTTTATTACATGGGAGTTAATGTTCTTATCAATTATTGCCAAAAACTCCCATTGCGACCTGTATTTATAATTAATGCATAAATTTATAATTAAAAAAATAATGCCCTCAAGGAATGTGTGTTTAAACTTTACAGAACATTTCAACAAATATGTTGTCTGTAATCAGAAATCAAATTTTTTACTGATTTTTTTTAATACATTTGTGTAATTTTTCTTGATATTTCGTTAAAATTATGTCTGAAAATATTATTGGCATAAAACTACCTATTGTAATTTACGTCCATTCCATAATTTGTTTAATGTAAATACTTTTGTAATTTGTAAATAGCATATTCTTTTACTTTTTTCTTTTCTTGTATGTATTAATAATGTGTGCGAGTGTGCATTTGTATTTAATCTTTTACTAGGTTTTGGTTTTTAACAATTAAAAAATTGTATTTTTCTTTCAAGATCTTGTTAGCATTACGTGTTCTTTTATCTCAAATTAATTATGATGATAATAATGTAATCTTTTCGTAAACAAATATAATTAAAATTTGCTTTAATAATTCCAAAAACTTGATTCCCTAGGGAAAAAATTAAACTTTACTTAATTGTACCTAAACTTTGGTTTGTGATAAAATTGGGTTAACAATCTTATTTTTTTCAGAAGCTTTTGAGGGGAAAGTCAATAAGTCCACTATCTCTCAAATTCCAGCTGAGGACAATGATAGTGGGATGGTGGCTGGCATTGTAATAGGAGTAGTGACTGTTGTTCTAATGTTAGCAGCAGCTGTAAGTACTTTTTGTAAAACTTATTATTTTTTGTATATTGGTTACCGAACAAGCATGTCTCTTTTTTATTCCGTGTTGATAACTTCATATTTTTCCCATACTGAAATTTCTGTGTTTATTTCATATTCAACTTTTGTCTTGTAGATTGCCTATGTTGTATACCGGCATTACTTGCATAGAAATGTGACAAGTATGAACTTCGACAATCCAGTGTATCGGAAAACTACAGAAGATCAATTTTCTCTTGAAAAGAATCAATATCAACCCCAACGAATTTATCCAGCAACTGTAGGGGAAGAGGTAAGAGCATTAGCCATGGACAGCTGCATACTCAGATAATTGCGTTTCCAGAAATTTTGTAGACAATTTATTTTCAGAGCAGTACTTTAGATTTCCTATTTTTCTTGTATTTTGTTCTGTGGAAAAGTATTTCTTGCTGGACTATTTCATGTTCATGGATTTAAAATTTTGTAAGTTAATCAGGAAGACAAAAATCTGTAGCGGCACTGAATATTACACGCTCATCTTGTACTATCATGTTTATTAATGAAGAAATTTATGACAAAATCTTCAGAAGACTCATACATTTCTATGTCATCTCTTCTGCATATTAATTTTTTAGTTCGTGAAGTCACCATAAATTCCTTACTTTGTATGTCTCCAGAAAATGAGACATGAAAAGTGAATTGATATGGGCAGTGTGTGAATGCTGAATCAAAAGTTTTTCACTAAAAAGCAGTTTCATTGGTCTGAGTGATACCAATACTTATAAAAACAAATCATCTGTCAGTGGATAAAAAATTAGTTCAATCATTCCCTTGCAGACTCATTTGAAATTCAACTTCTATTTCCATGCCAATTTCTACTTTCCATCCTCTCCTGCTTGTGACAAGGTTCCAACAGTGCCACCTAAACTTAATCTTTCATCTTCATATGTTATATTGTAATTAAAAGTTTTAAGATTATTCCTGTATCCTGAACCTTATTATGCATTCCCAATAAAATAAGTTAACTGTACATATGAAAGAAACTTGGTGAATCAGTATTATTAAACAAGACATTAAGCATTAAAACTTGTCAATCTTGGTTGTTATTCTTTATAAGACTGATTCATCACTGTATTTAGTGTGCCAAAACAACTAAACCTAGAGTGAACATGTTATACACTGAATGAAAGCATTCATGTTTAACTGTAATGCTTTTTACTCGTGTTGCTGCTTGTTTCATGCCTGCCATAATGCTCTTACAGAAAGGGACATATAAAATCATGGTGAGTGAATAAGGTGTTTTAGAGATTGCATTCTAAATTCTGAAACAATATTCCCCATCTATTTGATCATCTTTCTCCTTTTGTTGTTTTGTTTTGTAATTCAAATCCACAAATTGAAAGCATGATTTGTATTTCTTTGTTTCAGGCTAATGAGCCATTAACGAGTCCTGGAACCAATGATTATGTATAACTAGGTACTTTCCTAGTTGAAGATAATTTAAATATCTTTTCACTTATGTGTGGTAAAGATAAGTGTGATGTGCAAAATAGCAATGTGTTTAAATATGGACTTATTTGTGCTGAAAGAGGTGTCTTATTTCTTCACTAAGAATTTGGATAGGCAGTGTGCGTGTGTGAGCTCTTTAGAGAGCTAGGGACAAGCGAGCCGAATCATTGCTGGCCTGGCTGCTTCTGAATTCTGTGCAGGGCAATGAACATGCACTAAGTGCAACATAATGAAGATGTATGATAGAGCCTGTGCCAAATTTCTGTGATCTATTGTATGTAAATGAAATTATTTTAGCAGACTGTATGAAGCTGGAAAGCAAGGTTGAAACCTTGTTTAATTAATGTATGAAGTCAAAATTTCAAGGGAATATTTGGGAAACTTAAGAAAATTTGGCTTTTTATATAATGGCGTGTGATATGTTAACCCATTTTCCTTGAAGTTGTAAACATTTTGTTTTATGCTGTTTAATGAGTTCTCTCTCTGCAAACTCAACTGGAATCAGCTGTGTACATAAACTCAGTGCACTCACGATGAGAGACTACGTCAAGATGCTTTGTATGAAGAAAGTGTTTGAATGAGCAGTGTAAAGGTTGAGTATGAAATTCTAAGTTGTGTGTGACATGGTGTATAAATGTCATTGTATAAATGAAGGTTCATGCAATGGGCTTGTATAAATTGTATTGAAAACATTACCAATACGAAAAGATTGAGAAGAAAAATATTAATGCTATTTAAATGTTTTGTAAATATGTGGATCATAATTCAAGACATTGTGTCTTGATGTGCAGGGCACCAAAATGGTAGATTTTGCCAAATTATCTGTGGTTGATCATTGTAGATTGACCTTGCAAACATGTATTTGTGTGTGCGCCCTGAATCTTTGTCAAACTAATGTGCAAATCTCAGATCCTCTGTAGTTACAATGTTCCTTATTTTCATTTTTTAAATGATAGTTTGAATGTATTTACAATAAAAAAATACTGTTTGGTTTTACTCACTACTGAAAATATTAAATGTTATATGATATTTGGCTTCCAATGCATTTTTTATGGAAATGCATGATAGGAAATGCAATTATGCAAGTACAAAATCATGAATGTGATGTTTTAAAATCATTTGTATACTTGCAAGCTCATATTGTGCCAAAGCATATATTCAATGTAAATATAATTAAAACTTCATATGTCAAAAGGCTGGCTGCACAATTCATGGTGAGTAAATCCAAGAGTGAGACTGGATTTGTATGTATGTTAGTGTGAATGAATACATTTTGAATTGAAGCTATTTAGTACACATTTAATAAATTGGTAAATAAACTAAGAAATGCTTTGATAGAAGTGCAATATTTTCTTCAAGTCATGTGGTATTTATCAAGTCAGATTTGCATGTTTGTTGCTCAGTCCTGTAATTTCATCATATAGTTTTCATGTTTCCTTACATGTAAAGTTGTAAATATATAATCAGAAAATATTTATTTTAAATGTCATTATTATTTGTATCCCATTCTTTTCCTTTGCAGGAATGTATATAATAAAGTCTGTCATGATTATTTTAATTATGTAAATAAATTTACAATGTACTCAATTTTGGGATTTACAAAGTTGTACCAAAAACCTGAAATATTTAGAATAGAAGTGAACAAACAGATCTCTACAACAAATTGCAAAGGCTTGTTGTTAGTCAAATATGCAAGTAAAATGAAGCTAGAAGAAATAGTGTTGGTTTGAAATTGGAAAGAATTTTTAGTGATAACAATGAAGTGTTGAAAGGAATGGAGAGATACTTTTTTCCAAAAAAACGACAAATTTGTTAGAGTAGAAATTGTAAAGAGAAATTTACATTGGGAGATATGAATAGGACTGGGAGAAATGTTAGTGGTTGGGTCATACAAATATATGAACGATAAAGTGCTGATTGACAGTGGGAAGAAAATGACTTGAAAATATGAGTAGATTTTTCCAGCATTAAAAATGTTCATAAATATTGGTTTAAAGAAAGGAAACTTTTTGGAGATTCTAGAGATCTGTTAGTTATGAATGGAGCATGATGTTCACTTGTTCTAAAACACCCCCCCACACTAAATGTTACCAACACAACAAGCAAAACGGTAACAAAGCTCATGAAGTTGAGAATACTTGAACTAAATGAATAAAGATGGATTTACGCAAATTTCTTTCAGAAGTAGCATGTGTGGCGATTGCTAGGAACTATCGCCCTCCACAACTTGCCAGTTAGTTTCCTGGCATTAAAATATTTCAAAGGAATAATTTCCGGTTTGAACAGTGAGCCTCTAGTATACTCAAGACTCATTGTTCAAACTGGAAATTATTTCCCTTTCTTTAGAAAGATTGCCCATTCCTTGCAGACTAACGTGGCAAAACAGAGTGAATTCCACAGTGGGTACCTTAAGTATTTGGCAAGTAGTGAGGGTAATTTATAAACGAGTGAATGCTGAATTCAACTCGTTACCAGCTAACTGCTGCTTGCCATTTTTTTAAATTATTTTTTTGAAAGAAAATATAGAATGGAGGAAGTTTCAAGAATGTAATGAGTCTCCAACAATCATTTTGCTAATAACTAGGTTCTATTATTATATACCCATATTAACAGTTAAATAAGGGTTAATGTAATGGACAGAAATTTTGGAACACCTTTACCATATCTTTAAGTGAAGGTTACAAGACCCGTGCAAGTACTCAATTAGAAAGTATCCTCCTTTGTTCTCTCTCTTTTTGCAATAGTATAAATTATTGCACTCTTCCCATAACTCCTATAAATCATAACTTTGATATAAAGTATACCTAATTTCTTGCCAATTATAAGATTAATTTTTCATGTAAATACTTCACAGTTCCACCAGTATTCAAGTATCCATACACTCTTGTTGTTAGTTGTTGATCATGCCACAGAGATGTTGCTACAGTTCTGAATTGAAGGATTTAGAAATTCTTCGATAGATAGGAACTTCTGCCAAATAAAAGTGGTTTTTGTTCCTTTAGTAATTTGTAGCCTGCCTTCAATTTAGAATTTTTTAATTTTATTTTTAAATATGATTTTTCAAAATTGCTGTGATTATTTAAAATATGTTGATACTAACTCGGACAACGATTGAAAAGAATGTTGGTACTTTAATCACTCCAAATCTTCTATTTACTTGCTTGATACCTGGAAGTAGATCCAGAATGGCCAAAGTATTGAAAACAACTTTTTTTTTCTTTGATTTCCTCTTTTATTTCTATAAATTAATTTTCGCTTGCTTTTTGTTTTTAATGTTAAATGTAAATTCCAATTGTATGTAATAAAGATAAGTCTTTTTGTAAATGGAAATTAAAACCAGATCCTTGACACAGAACAGAAAGTATTCCCACTATTTTGATAATAATACACATTTGCTCCAACACCCCTCTAAACTTCATATCTGTTCTGCAAGACATACAGAAAAATGGAAACTAATGAAAATAACCTTTCTTTTTTTTTAAATGTTGGAAGCATAATTTTAGTCTATCATCATCATAACCCTTGGTTTAACTGATGCTCCTGCCCTCCGTGAACAGAAAAGCAGTATTCCTTATTTCCTTCACATCAGTGTGTTCCTGCTAGTGCACATAGTATCAATTTTAGATATAAAACATCTCTCATCTCTGAATTTCTCCTATCAGGTTTGAAGAAAATGTTGTTTTGTAACATGAAAAGCTATCACATAATTTCTTGATTAACATCATTGCTTTACAAAATAAAAAGTAGGTAGCTATTATACACACTAGTCTAACCAAAACTTTTGACAGAATTGATCAATCTCTTTCTTTCAAAACTAGGAAAATTGGAATACATAAAGCTGTGTTATCTTTGTTAAAATCTGATGTTTATTAGAGTTCAAATTGTCAAAGTTCACACCAGTCTTTCAAGTACCATTAGTATGTATCATTGTTTTTCCCAGAGACCTCTTATACTCCTTATCTCATTTAACATCTTTAATCAATGGCCACAGGAAATTTTTTTCTGCTGATAAAGCTAAGTCAATACTTACTTCAAAAGATTACAACTGACTTTCAACTAATTTAAACAATCAGCAAAGATTTTACAATATTTTTTTTTTGCTCATTATCTCTAAAAGTATTATTTAGTATTTTTCAATTCACAAATTCCCATATTTTTTTCAATTACTTTTCACAGTATTCCTCATTAATTAGTACATTCAACTAAAGAACCAGTTATTTTTTCTCCTTAATCAATTACATAAGTTTTGATAATTACATATACAATAATTACAGGAAAAGTCTGAAAATGTTTTACGTTTTAGTCACAGACTCCAGTGGCGGCTTCGGCACTTTTCTCACAAGAAAAGAAGTCAATAGTGAATTTTCTGTCTGACATCAATGGGAGTTGAATGGATTCAGAAGCTGGCAGTATCCCTCTAGGGACTAACCTTTTATTGTATCTCTTTGAAGATAGACTTATGTTGTTGATGTATAGTTTTTTACTGGGATATGTAGCTTTTGGTCTGCATTTCTTGTATTTTGGACTGTGTGCCCTTGATATAAGATAAATAAAAATATTAAGTCAATATCAAAATATTTCAACTGAAACATATAATAAATTGATTTCCATGCATCGACTTGCAATAGGATGAGAGTGAGTATGTAATACATCTATATGAGGTGTCCCTTCACCTGCGCTTCTGCTAGCCCACATTGTAAGGTAAAGGACTGTGCCACTGTCTGGTCTTGACTCATTGGATCACCAAGCTTGAATGTTTTCACACTTTAATCTACTTTGAAAAGTAATCGGAGATGTCTGTTCAATCAAGGGAGAAATTCCTCCCTACGACGTATAAGAAAATGTTTCTTCTGGGTGCAGGAGCGCTGTGAGAGGTGGGTAATTAACACAGGGCAGGAGTGACAGAGAACTTCCTATGAGAGAGATTTCAATAGTTTTCACATCGGTTAAAAGCTTAAAAAGTTTAAAATTTAGCAATTTCTTGAGCTTTCAACTGAAAAATTAAATATGTTCCTCATATATCAAAGCAACTATTTCATTTGGTGGTTCCTTTTAGAAGAATGTATATAAACAGAAATTTACTCACAGAGAAACAGACACTGCCAGAATTAAATAAACTCAATTTTCTGTTCCTGTCAAAATATATTGCTCATGTGGAATATTAAATCTTGAATATTTCATTTTAAAATACACTAAATTTTATAGCTGACACTATTATTCATGATGGTACCAAATTGCACAGGCATGAGCACACATATGGGATCATGCATTTGAGTCCAACTAAGGCATAGGTATTTATTTACCTATGTGTTGTGGCATGGTTGACTCACCCCCCAATGTATCGTCTTCCCAATGATTACCTTTCATTCCTGGACTGTCCAGGTACTACAGGAGTTCAAGTGTGAGACATGTATGTGTTACACTGTATCTAATAATACTGTTTCTGATTCCCCTTGTGTTGCTGCATCGAGGAACAGACCCAACCACCATGTATCACCCTATAACCCTGGATCCTTGGCTTCAATTATCCACTACCCAATACTAGCTAGCTTAGCTGAGATGGCACCATTGGGTTCCTCAGCAGCTGCCCTCAATCCTGAAAGAAAGAGAGAGAGGAAGGTTCTTTAGGCTACCTAAAAATATCAGTAAGGAGGTGAGTTCTATACTGACACAGAGTAGAATGAACCAGTGTCTTGGGAACCAGCACACTAAAGAGACTTGCAAGGTATCAGAGAGAACAGTCCATGTAGTGGCCTGATCCAAAAATGTCCATACATAGTATAATTTATATTTGAAATTCACATAACATATTTATTATTCATAATTTGTAGTAATTTTAACTATATGTAAATAATCTACCAAAAAATAAGAAGTCTTGAAATTCAAATCAAGAGGAAGAAGAGAGATTGAATAGGAACAGATAGGAAGACCAGGGACACCTAGGAACTAACAAAATACTGGAACAAAGGAATATACCATTGGGTTAGTTCTTAAATAGTTGATGATCATAAAAAAAGATATTTTATTCATTAATAGAAAATGGTGCCCTCAGGACTTGCTGCATTCAGCCAAGTTAGCATAAGCACTTGTAGCAGTAGCAGTAGTAGTAGCAGGACAAAGTGAATTCTGTCTCCTTATTGCCAGTCCATGACCAAGCTGAACCTTCCTTCATTGTAGGTGTTTATAACCTAAATTGGCCACGGCTCTTTGTCCCTGTCCCTTTTATCCCTTAAGTTGGCCTTCCATATACAGCTATCTAATAAGTAACATAGATGTTTTGCAACTATACTTGGAAACAGATGTACCCTTTTGCTGACAGAAAGAAAATCGGTCAGCAAAATTCATTCTGATAGTCATCCTAACACATTTTTTCTTCCCTTACTTCATCCTGTCAGTACCAATGATTTACTTTACTGTTTTTTATTTAATTCATTACTCCAGCTTATTATAGATTAGAGCCTAGTCATTTTAATAACATTTAAACTAATTTTTATTTTTTGTCATTATTCTTTACTGTAAACTGATGCGGAGCTTTTGAGAGCTAGATATCAATGTAAAAGGAGAAATTACAAAAACAATTTCAATGATCTGTAACAGTAAAAAATATATTTCATGCTCACAAAAATGTACATACAAAACAGCAAATGTACATACAAAATTTCTTCGCTCACACACCTTTAACAAAATACATACTATGCCTACAACAACTTTAATCCAAGACTGGTCAACAAGGTTTTCTTCACAAGAAATCTGATTAGTGAATGTAGTGCCTTTTTTCATGTTGAATTCAGTTGTGTGTTAAGAATTTTTCCTTCATGCACAGTTTTTTGTGACAGCTACTTTTCAAAATCTGATTTGAACATTCTCTTTGACCTGACATAAGAACCTTTACATCACAGACAGAAAAATGTGTGTCACGTGTCGAGTTTGTGAATCCTAAAAAAATATATTTAGCTCTACTGCATATTAAATTAGGAGGAATGAAACATTTCCTAAAGATATGTATAAACTTCTGATGGATTCTTGTATTTGAAGTAAGTGGAGTTAAGTTGAAAAGGGGTATTTTCTAGGACCACAAATGCACTCATTAATGGCTGATAAACATTTTGAAGAACTATTAAATTCACTGGAAAAAGCAGCCTGGCAGTCTTTCAAAACTTTATGCTGCAATTTCCTTGGAAACTATAAGGCCGAAAACTATCAGACATAGTAGCTGATCTACATTCTTAGAAAGTTATAGGATGTAACACGTCTTTGAAAATTCACTTCTTAACTCTGAGTTAGACTTCCTCCAGGAAAATCTTTGGGCTGTCATCGATGAGCACAAGTGAGCATTTTCATCAATAAATTTGTACAATGGAAAACAGGTACTACACAAGGGTAGTTCTAATATGTTGGCTGACTACCGTTGGACCTAGAAGAGAGATATTCCAAATACAGAACATGCCCCAATATCAACATTACCACTTTCTAGGTACAGAATTAGAAGGCAGAACGTAAGTCAGGACGAGTAGTATACCATTTAGATTTGGATAGCAAGTTACCAATTTTATTAAAAATTATAAAATGTTCAAATGAATATCACACAAAACTCCTGCCTGAAGGGGGAAATCTGAAATTATATTTCAATTCGGTATGAAAAATACTTCTAGAGACTGTTATTTTCATTCTTGTGAAAGAAAAAATGTTTATATTTGTAGACCAGTGTTACTTTTGAACCTTTTTTATAACTTTGATTGATGATCCAATGTTTTCACTACTTCTTCTTCAATGAATTGTCTAATATGTTCTTGACTATAATTGAGACTTGAGAGAATTTCACGAGTGTGTTCACCTGCACGAGGAGATCTTTCACAAGCTTTGGATATCCCTGGTGTTCTACTCAAAATAGGTGCAGGGCCTGGTACTTTCCTCCCAGGGTCATCAGCAAATTTAACGAATGAGCTTCTCTCAGAGTTATGTGGATCTTTTACAGCTTCTTCCAAAGAAAGGACAGGTGTGACGCAAGCATCAGAGACATTGAATATTTTACACCATTCCTCCTGAGTCTTGCTTTTGAATTTTTCAGTAAAAACTTTTTTTGCTTTTGCAGTGTCTCCAAATTGAGGAACTTCATCTTCAGAAATACCCAAACCATTCATTAATATATCATAAAACTGAGGTTCCAAAGCTCCAACTGCCATAAATTTTCCATCTTTTGTTTCATAAACTTCATAAAAATGCATTCCAGTGTCAAGCCTGAATCAAAAATAATGTAACTATTAGAAACACCTTTGTGGTAATAAACTAACATAATAACTCTAAATGAACTTTTGCACTTCCTAGCACTTACAGATTATTCCCACGAGGATTTCCCCAAATTCCTAAATGTTGGGAGCGGTAGAGCCAGCTACCCAGGTATGCAGTGCCGTCAACCATACTGGCATCTATTATTTGTCCTTTCCCAGACCTTGCTCGTTCCAGTAATGCCAAAATAATTCCAAATGCGCACATGAGTCCACCACCACCAAAATCGGCAGCCAAATTTGTTGGTGGAATAGGCCTTTCTCCACTTCTCCCAAACAATGAAAGCAAACCTAGTTAAAAGATACTTACATTTAATAATCAAAGACCTTACTCACACACCCAGGGGCTCACTGACTCAAGGTTAGTTTGTTCCTCCCCCCCAATCCTCCAATAATGTAGCAAAACTACGACAACAACAAACTAATCTACTTTTATTTATTCTATAAAATCTCAAGACAATGTGCACAATAATATGTTATAAAATGAAATCACACCCAGTTCAAAACAAACGAAAACAAAAAACACAATCCAAGTGTTGACATTTTAAATTATATAAAAATTATGTATGGTAAATTATTAATTGGTGTAATTATGGTTGGTAATTGTGGTAATTATTAAATAGTTATGACAAATTGACATGTATTTCCCATTCCTGTGGTCCTCAACTTGTATCACTTTATCTTGCTCCCCCCCATCTCCACACACACCTCTGACAATAGGAATCTAAGCAGATGCACAGTTTGCATAGGCAGAAGTTTTCTGCCATCACAATAAATTCAAGACACCTTTCTGAAAAAATAATAAGTATTTAATAAACGTAACCACTGAGTATATTGAAACAGTTTTTGTTTAGATGGTTTAACAGGATTTTAACACTGTTTTAATATTTGTTTCAATTTTCTCCAACTATTAACAATACTGTAATGTAAAATGCATTGTGGACTCAACTTCAATGTACTTTGATCTAGGCAACATCTAAGCATTAGCATAATTTATATTACAAAACTCCAGGCAAGAAGTACAAATTAAAATTAATGGGGATTCCAGAAGATACATACACCATGTTATAATACTAACATATGTAATTTTACACTGTGGGTTTATATATTAATGTTATATCTTTACCTGATATAGACACATAATTAATATCATGTCCAGCCATGGAAGAGTATTTTCCAAATTGTCCAAATCCAGTTAGTCGAGCATATATCAATTTAGGATTTTCTTTCAATAGATCCATGGGCCCTAATCCCAATTTTTCCATTATACCTGTAAACAATTACTCAATAAACCACAAGGTGAGAGAGAACATATCAGAACAATTATTTCAACCAATTTTATAATTTGTCCGCAATGAAAACTTGATTTTCTTTACCCTTTCTAAAAGGTTCAATAAGAACATCAGATCTAGAGCACAACTTCCGAAAAACTTCCACTCCTTTAGGGCTTTTTAAATTTATGGCAATAGATTTTTTACCATTTCCCAAACAGTCTAATTCTTCACCTCGTCCTGCTGTTGTCTAAAAGAAAAAAGGAAGTTCTGAAAAGTTTGTCATAAATTATAGTTTACTTAAATGATATGATGAACATACCCTGTCCACTCTAATGACAGATGCACCAAAGTCTGCAAGAAGCATACCACAAAACGGAGCTGGAGCAAGGCCAGCTAATTCCACAACTTGCAGGCCCTTCAGTGGCATTTTGAATTTTTGAGCAGCTATCACAATATTTCTTAATTTGATTACCAAATATTTGTAGTAGTTTATAATTAGCTACCTCCCTGTTAAAAATAACAAGTGATAAAAAAAAGGCGCATACTCTCAAATTTAATTTTTCAGTAGATTCCTGAATAACGTTAAAAACTGAAATGATCTTGGTTAGATACACATCATATTTGAAATTCAAATAAAAATAACTGTCAGAAGTTAAATTACCGCTTCTGGTCCAGTTGATGCACAATGTTTCACGCACAGAAATGTCACGTATCAGGTGGAACGACAAACTGCGATATCAGAAGACATCACTTTCTTACAAGGAAGCAAGTCATCCACTTAACACCTGCATTCGACGTACATTTATTCCTTCGGTTTTTCCACCCTTCCTCCTTGATTAACATTCTCAGCGCTAAAGCAAAAAACGAAGGTCCAAAAGTCAGCAAAACAATGCGGCCAAAGTGGCGGTGTGAGACGTCCAAGTACCTAGCAAGTATTAATATACACATTTACTTAAGAATTCTGACCCCGTTGATCTGATACGGGCAACGTCATTCCCATATTATATAAGATACTCTCTGGTAATGCCATTTCCATTGAATTTTTTTCATTGAAATTCTCATGTTTAGACAATGCAACGAATGGCTTCCATTCTTGCATCTCACCTATGACGCACATAAAATATATATTATAAACAGTAAATAAAAAAATTGAAAATATATTTTGTCCCCAGATATATAAGCCAGATCTAGTACGCATATATTACACGACCTCAATTTAAACTCGTTGCAAACGTGATCACTAATTACTAAGTCCATATTAGACGTCTATTTAATATGAAACGTTAAACAATTTAAAAAGTCTTATGAACGTTGCTGCTCTTTCTTCTTGCGGGGTTCCATTCTACTTTAGTGCAATATTCCTTACAGCTCTGTAGCCAGTCATGATCAAAATAGGAGTGTTATAAGGTGATCAAAAAAATTAGGGAGTGAAAAGACAACAGCAGGGTGACCCCGAGTGTGACAGTGAATCACGCTGGGCCGGTGCTCCTCTATTTAATAAAATTAAATTGTTAAAAAAAAGGACCCCCCCTCTCTCAGCGTTCTGAAACAAAAGCTTAAATCTTCGAGAAAAAGAAAAAAATGCTCATAATGCAATGTATGAGTATTTCGAAAAGTTGGTTTGAACAAATACTTTCTATGCAAAAAGTTGCATTTCCGAATTATTATCACTTCAAACACTTGTAAATTGTTTTTTATATACAACAAAAATTAATATTTTGGTTCACAAAGAAAAATTAACATAGAATAAAAAAGCAATTGAATGGTGTAAATTGGGTCCTATTTTAATTGTGTTAATTTCTCTTTATAAACATACTATATAATATATACATTTCTTTTATGTAATAAACAATTTACAAGTTTCTGAAGTGCAAATGTTTGCATGGAAAGTGTTTTTTCAAACCAATTATTGAGTGCTTATTGCAGCTCAGTCACTCGAAGGATTATCTTGAACAAAATACTCTTCAAATTGTCTGAGAAGTGAGAGCATGATAATTACGAGACACCAAAGAGAAGGCTAACTTTTCTTTACCAAAGAATGTTTGGTATAAATATACCCTCTAAGATCTCCTTAGAAAAGCTACATGTTGCGCGCTCAGAATTGTAATATTCGGAATCAAAGGATATTAAAAAATCTAAAACTCTATATAATTGAACTTTAGTATTCTCATACTGCATTTCGTTCGATATTTGCTTCTGAATTTTTATTTTGTCGGATTGATATTGATCAATGAATATGCATGGCATTCAAATACATACGATAATGTATATATACGTACTTTTTATTTTAAATAATTGTTTATTTTATAATTGATTACTGTTGTATATTATTTTTATATTAAATAAGGAATTAACATTATGTTTTACTTTAATTAAAAGAATTCTGCATGAAAAAGGTATTTGCGAAAGTTGACTTGCGCATGTCATTAGCAAACCACTTTCTGAACGGTGTCTTGTATTCAAGGAAGCCGGAGATATTGATATGGTAGTAAGTATTGGCTTATGGAAATTTACAATTTTTTCTGGATAGTTGTGTTTTTTTCAGCGTTTGTAAAGCAGCTTTATGTGTAATCAAATATATTTGTTGTAAACAATAAGTAGATTTCAAGGCATGTATTGTTTTTCACGCTTTAACGTCGGATTTGCTTTTGCCATGACGGCGCTTAGTACGTGAAGCTAATCGGCCATCTTGGTCACTTTCTATCTCGTCGAAGTTAAATTATTAATTTGAAAACTTATCATGTAAGCGTTATTTGTATAATAGTGTTCACAAGTACATACATTTTCAGTAGACATGATTTATAAAATCAAAATTCGGGAAGTAATTTCCGACAAAAGTGACCTTGGTAATTTTAATCCATTCGAAGCTCGTGATGCGCATTAAGATGACCGGAAAAGACAATATTACATGTTTGGCGTCTAGTATTTTTTCGATATTTAGTAAACATTTACTTCCAATTTATTCGTTGCAAGTTCAATTTAATAGTTAACCACCTCTAAACTTAATTTTGCGAAAGAAAAATGAGTTGTGCTAATCGGTTCCCATAGCAACGTTTTATTTATCATTGGTGTTAGTGGATTATTGATAAAACTTGCATTACAGTGTATTTTCTATCCCCAATAGATACATGAATTCCTGGCATAATTGAAGTGCTACAATGGAGACAAATTTGAGTTCTGAATTAATAGTTCGAGCATTGAATTTCCACGGACAGCAACTACAGCGTCTTTGGGAAGGGGAAAGAGGAGAAGGTGACTTACCAAAACAGGGAGTTGATGTTAAGGAACTGGATTTTGATGTTTATCAACAGAGACAAAAACACTTAAGGTAATATGAAATTGATAAATTCAACCTACAATTTCATTTAATTACGTTCATCTTATTAATAATTTTGTCTTAAGTCATATCTTTACGTATAACTACATATTGTTTAGAAAGATTTTCATTAAAAAAAAAAAAAGAATGATTCATTTGGAATGCTTTGTTGCAGGTTTTATACGTAAAGAGATGAAACTTGAAAAAATATAATGAAAGATAATTACTAGAACTTTTGTGTTATAGTTCAATGCAAGATAACTATTATGATAAGACTTTCATTGTATTAAAATTAATGAACGCCCGTGGAAAACATTATTGCATCACTATTTCCAAATGCCGTTCTCATCTATTCAGCTATTATGATGGGAAATAATGCATTAAATATGTTATTCAACATCGATGGGAACCTTCTTAAGCACATACGTGATGAACTTAGTCATTAGCTTATATTTATTTTAGTACTTAATATCTGACAAGTGTGCACAGAGCACTAGGAAAGATTGTATTCGTGTTGAATGTTGAAATATTTTACTCAAGTGAAGAAATATGTTTTGATAAGTCTACTTTTACTGGTAAAACCTTGATAAAGATGGTCAACAATTGCTGGAATGTAGAGTTTAACACTTCCTTTGATCATAGAGCCATTCAGAATTAAGCTGTTACTTTGTACATTACTCCTTTTGTGCCATCTGCATGTAAACGTTAATGAGAATATCAGTATATGAAATTCACAACTTGCTTCAACTTCTTTGAAACAACCTTAAACTTTATTTATCATAAAATTCCTGAGAGGTGTTCTGGAAGCGAGTACACGAGACCCACGTTCAACGAAAATTCTAATATCCTGAAATCAAAAATTTTCGATACTTTGCAACTTTTGAACATTTTTAAACAAGATTACAGTAATTCAGGAGAATATTGTATTTTAATTATGTCAGAAGTATGATATCAAACATCAGGTGGTGTAAATGTAAACTATGTATTTACTTAGGTGGGAGGTAGAGGGATGTAGTAAAATCATTTACATAATTTGGCTTGAATAACCTTGTACTTCTACTACAGAGAAAATGACTCCCAAATCATTTTAAAAATTTTTCTCCTTGAAGGGTGCTATAAAATGTCATGCTAGTTCAATTATAATTTTTTTAAATATTATTTGTAGGAGTTTTTCCAAAATTTATATTCTCTAGTAAAACTGGCATATTCAAAGCTAATTTCGAATAGCATTCTTTAAATTTGGGGTAAAAGTTTGACCAAATGCACTGCTAGGTCTGTTTTTCTTATGTTGATTCTTAAATTTTTGAAAAGTGTAATTTCTTTCTAACGAAATGTGTTCTCCATAATTAGTCCAAAGGTATGTACATTGTTTTGAAAATTTTTGTAGATTTCATGATATATTACAAACTTTCTAAAACAATCGCAGGAAACTGCTCCAAATTTATTCTTTAATCTTGGTACTGCTAGTTCTATGTTGTTTAATAGATGACATAACCGTTTTGTCCATTTCTTTTGTTTTTTCAAACATTTCACAAGTTTTTTTGTTTTCTTTTTTTTACATCTCTCTCATGTTATTATCAACATTACTGGCAATTTGTATAAATCATTGCATTTATGAAATGCTTTAAATGAAATCTTATGAACTTTCTCAAAAACTAGAATTTTCTCTAAATATGGGCTTAGGATTCCACATTTTCAGAAATTTTGAAACAGTGGTAAATGGAGCGAATGACTTCTCATAAATGCCAAATTGATGTATTCTTTTATTTTGTTTTTCAAAAATTACTGGTGTAATTTTTTTTAAAAAATCTCATCTTTCATGTGTACATTTCTAGCAATTTGTACTCATTATTGCATTTGTGAGTAGAAGTGCTTCAAATTATTTCCAGTAGTGTTTCTCAAAAACTTTTTTTTTGTGTGTGTGTGTGTGTGAAATATTCAAATTTTACACTTTCAGGTATGCTTCAACTAAATTTTCCTAAAATCGGCTTTAAATTTTTCAATAACAATTTTCATACAGAACAAGGTTTTACTGTGCTAGTTATGTCAGAAGTATATTATATCAAAAATTGGGTGGTGTAAATTTAAACTATGCATTTCCTTAGTTTGAGGGATCTAGTAAAATAATTTACTACAAAGTCATAGCTTTTACATAATTTGACTTGAATAACCTTGTACTTCAACTATGGAGAAAATGGGTTCAAATTAATTTTTACAATTTTCTCCTTGTATTAAAGGATGCTATAAAATGTTTTTCTACCATTAGAAAACCTAAAAATTGCTGGCCATAGTGTAGGGGCAAGACTGATAGTAGGTAGTCCAGACCCAGAAATGAGCAAAATAATTTGAATGAAAAAATCTGTGCCATTCTGTAGCACCCCTAATTAAAATTATTATTTGAGAACTAACTACTAACGTACAGGGAATAATTTAAGAACTTGTATCAATTAATAAAGGGCTTTAAGAAAACACTCAATAATACTAATAAGTTATCTTTGCTGTAATATAAAGGAAAAAAGATTTAGAGCTGTATTTGAAAATAAAATTGATTTCTCTGGAAGTCTGCCAAAGCTATTCCCAAAAAAATCTACAGCGCATGTTTTTAAAGATTAACGGTGAAGAACAAATTTCATGAAGTCTAAAATTTAAAGTTTTGCAATTTTTGGTGTTTCAGGAATTTTAATGAAAATTGACCCAGTACCGTTTTTGCGACAATTTTTGTGTCTTATGATCATCATATAAAGAACTCCCAGAAATCCATTTCAATTTCAAAAAGATCCATTTCAATTTCACTGGGCCCCGAGAAAATGCAATTTGGTTGAGCCTTTCCGGAGAGTATCCTGTGAATGGTAGAGCGGCTTGTGTTTTTGGGAGAAATACTCATTTTGAGAGGGAAAAACAACTATAAACCAAGTTTTCTAAAGATAACACTGGTCTACAAAGAAAATCTGTAACAACAAAATTCTGTTGCTGGAAGATCATTTGCCTCTTAATTCAGATCTAATTTCAGAATTTCTGTATTATCTCTATTTTCATGTAATAGTTATTTGCAAATGCGTATACTCTCTATGAATTATGTATATCTGACAAAATGTCATGCACTAATAACAGATTCGAAGTATACATTAACTACAACAATGTAACTGTTAAGAAAGTGACAAAATTTATCTAAAAATATTTCCTGTTTGATTTCTGGCAATATTTTGCCTAGTCATATCTTTGCATCCTCATAAGTTCCAGCAGTAGTCGAACATTGCACCACTGATAATGCTTTCCCATTTGTCCTGGTTGAACTCATAATGGACTCAAGATCATTTCAAAAAAATAAAATCAGTTTCATACAGGGGAAAAGAAGATGCCATTCTTTTAGTCGCTCAGCTAAAAGCTTAGACTGTTGCTTTGACACATTAAATCACAAAGAAGAAGTTGAGATCTCCTTAAGGCAAAAAAATGTGGTTGATTTTAGTCAAAGGAGGCTTGAATTGTTCATTCAACATGGACATGTCCACCTCTCCGACTGTCGTCTGAATGTTTGTAACACATTCATCTTCACTCACTGTCACATTCTCATGAGGCGGCGGTACGACCAATTCTTCAATATGACATACATGTTGTGAAGCAGAGAATATATTAGAATAGATCAGTTTTCTTCATTTTTGAAGTCATTCCATTTATTTTTACAGACAGAAATAAGTGTTGTGTAATTTTTTGGTTCCCTCCAAAGCAGCTACAACAAATGGCATGTGTCGTGTACCTTTTAACCAGCACGTCAGGAATATAACATCTGAGACGCAGCATATATGAGGGTCCATTGCAGGTCCTTGTTGCCTACCTTACACCTGAAATAAAAATTCGTAACACTTCCTTATCAGAGCATTAAGGTTGAGTTTCTGCAATCTGAGATAATTCTCAACAGATATAACTAAATAAATTTGCACTACAATACAAGCTTCAAGGCTTTCTTCAAAATTAATACAAAACGCAAACATTCACAAATCTAGAACAAAACTGTCACATCTACTTTCCATCCTATCAGATGTCTCAATGCTGGGACACAACCGTCAAGAAAGACAACAAAAATATATCCCTTCTAGCATGAATTATCAGCAATGTAGCCAAACTATTTTGATTTCCTAGAGTTGAATTTTGTGAGTCGTGTCATGTATAGGAATTCCTTGTTCACTTTTTGATTGTTCCTGAAGAGTTAGAACTGCAGTAAAATTAACAATATGCAACGTTCTCAAGCATTTCTGTGTATAGGGAGTAACAAGGAACGGAGCCCAATGGGCAAAAACTAATTTCATATTCAAATTCAGGGTCCAAGACTTCGCTGTGAACACCTCATTGAGCATCTTTATACAAAAATGCTGTTGACCAGTGGAATCAAAACAATTTCAACAAAAAATATCTTAATCTAGGTAAACTAAAGATAAATTTTTTGAACTGAAGCAAAAAAGAGCTATGAATTTCCAAATGGCTTTCATGAATCAACAAATTTGTTTTTCTCTCACTAATTCATTATGAGAGAATAAGAAGTTTTTCCTTTGTTTAATAAATCTATTTTCATATTGTTTTATTTAAAATTAATGTCTGACCAAAAATGTTATTTTAATAAATTGTGAAATTTACTTATATTTTCATATTGAATTTCAAAATTAAGATTGTTCATAATGTGGGGAAAATTAAAGTATCTGAAAAAGTTAAAAAAGACTAGAATTTTTAAAGTTTGGAAATCTCAAAAACCATGAAATATTTTATTAACTTCATGGTTACTACTAGCGCTTGCAACTGAATTAAAGGTTCCCTCTTATTCTTTCCTGCCTTTTCAAACGGAACCCCTAAATGGACTCTGGTTAGCTCTTGACCCGAAATCAAATGGCTCACATTTGCCTATCTTGTGTAGTTCCCTGAACCAGACGGTGATGTGTTCCTAACACGAAAGGCTCGTAAAATGAGCAGGAATTTGTGACAAACACACGATATGTGTGTAAAATAGCCTGAGATTATATAGCTCTGGTTACCAATCGAGTCAATAATATTATTATTATTGTAACATTGTCGTAAAGTATGTAAACTGGAGAAGGGATGCACACCAATACTTTGTTCCTCCCTAATATTGCATTGCATTTTATTTCCCATGTGCCACACATATTCGCATTCTGATTGGCCCAGTAAACTGAGCGGATCTTGCTGTGTTAACAAGTACAACCCGGCCTCAAATTCCATTTTTTTTCCTCTTTGGTTGAACTGCAAATAACCATGGGAATGCAGTAATCACAAGATCCAATTCAAAAACTTGGGAGGTCAGACTTTCGATGCCAGCACTAGTTACTGCTGATAAAAAGGCAGCTCCACATATTTCCCATTATGTTTGTCACAAGCTACTGCATGATCGATAACAAGCAGCTGATGTGCTCAAGAAATGTTTGCTTCCTTTAATATGTAGTCACATGCTGGGTTCTTGTTCTGGGAATGTTCTTGGCAATTAGTGAACGACCCATCTACACTTCGGTATTCGACAAGAAGTCCTTGCTTTTGCTGAATTACAAATATGTGGAGTTGCCTTTATAACAGATCCTAGTATTTCATATCGTAGTTATTAAGCAATATCGTAGAGAGCATNCCCCCCCCCCCCCCATAATAATTTTAAAAAGTATTCATTAAGAATAGGAAAAACGCATATAATATTGATCACAAGGAAAGTAATACATTTTTCAATATTATGTCATCATTTCACAATAATAGCATTAGAAGTTGTGGGGATAATTGTATTGTAAATCCAAAGAAATGTTGCAAACTATCTTAATATTTTGTTAAGCATTTCCTTTTTCTGGTAACAAGAATTGTACTTAAACAAATGGTCCACATACTGCATGGGATCTTTCCTTCTTTCTCCATGTCCTGTCCTCTTCACTTTCACAGATGCACTTTTAATCATACATGCACTACACTATCTGATGTCAGGAGCTTAAAGCCTGTTCTGAATGGGGTTGTGTCCTGCTGCAGCAGATTATTAGTCTGGGTAACAGTGTAATTTGATATGTAGGTTGTAGCCAAATACATTTGGCTTGTACAATTCTTCACAGTTAAGCAGCATACCTTTTATCATTTTTTATTGTTTCATAATTTGTTTATCTCTTAGATAACTTGTGTAGTTACTTGCTAATTTGTGTAATAATTTTGGAAGCACTATCTCTCCCAAAACATTCCCAGGTCGATTTGAGAATAGTAGACAAACCTTGTCTAATTCTCCAAGACAAGTGTCTTTAAAATTCAGTCCACTAATGATGTCACTTTGTGTATGCTTGTGCCTCATTCATAATGCTAGTTAGTGTGGCAGAGTTGATTAAAAACGATACCTCGAGACTTTATTTTGCAAAATAGATTTTGCCATGGAAAACAAACCCATACACTTGTGAAATTTCTGTCTTTCTGTAGTTAAATTTTATAATTCACCTGCACACTTCAATCACAAATTCTTTCAAACTGCTGAAAATTAATTCTGATTGGCAATATTTGAGGTGCGTAAGGAGTGAATAATACCATGTTTGAGGTGTAATGAAAGAGATTTGTGAGCAATTTATATGTCCAACAAAATCAAGGGTGATGCAATAATTTTTTCCATAAATGTATATTTCATACATTGTGTTACAATTCTTTGGTAAATTATTTACTGTAATAAGCATAAAATAAATGTTATGAAACGTGAAATTGTCTTTACATGCAGCCAAAATTAAATTCAAAATCCAAATAGCAAGGAGAGGGGGAGAATATTGAACTGTTTAATATTACTTAAGCTTGGCTTTTTTTGCGAGTATTGTTTCTTTTTTCCTACATGCTTTTTATATAAAAGTAAACAAACCTTGATCATTGAAAGCAGAATATTTTGTGCTAAAATACTTAACTTCTAGTCAACTTAATAAGTTGACTCCTGTGATTTCAAGTTGGATTTCTGTTATATTTCTACTGTTTTTCCATAGCTAATTTCTATCAAAAATGCATTCTGACCTTGCTTGTGACCAATGTTTTTTTAATTTAATGCCAAGTGCTGCAAAAAGCAGTCTTCATCTTTTCTGCAAATTGAGTGGCCAAACTAAAGTTCAGCCAATGTTACATTCTATTACTTATATTAATTATTCTAATTGTAACTTTTGTTTATAGTTTTCAAGATAGAGGCAAGCGTCTGAAGCTTCAACAGTTCATTGTGAAGAAGGCTGCTGCGTTATTTGATACTTCATTTGTTCAGCCAAGTGGAGAATCTAAGGAAAAACAGCCTAATGATGAAGGTAGTGTTCATTAAAACATTTTCTTTCAGTGCCCTTCAAATTCACACTAATAAATGTGGTAGATTGCAAAATGAGAGTTTTAATTAGCACAATATTTGCATTTTGTTTCTGTAATGTGCAAGTTTTTGAATGTGTGATTGGTCTAAGAAAATTAATTTTTTATATATTTTTGGACCCAGAGTAATAACTGAAATTATACTTCCAGAGTATTTGCAAAACATGTATTTGTGTGCAAATGTTAAAGAAAAAATATGGATTTATTTTGAGAAAATGTTGATAGGTTCCTGGACACCATAGTGAGGAAGTTAAACAATCTTTAAAAACACCTTAAATAACTAGCTTAACAACGAACTAAAAGTTTATAGGGTTTTTTCAATAATTTTGGGATTATAAGACTATAAATGCGAAATTTGAAGTTGCACTATATTGTGCTTTCTTAACTCTTATTTTAGTATCTTAATTTCAGTTGAGAGTTCAAATCAGTACAGAATTATCCGTCAAAATTCATTTTTAAACTATGAGAATAACATACTTATTTTTCAAGTACAACGTTCCATGAACAGATGTGTTCAATTGTTGATAAGGTGAACACATCTGTTCATGGAAACTTCTATTTGGAAAATATAATATGCTATTCTAATGGTTTTAAAAATGAAGTTAAGTGAATAATTCTGTTGTGATTTGCACTCCCAATTGATTGTCAACAAACTTGAGATACTAAAATAAGAAAACTTAACAAAAAGAACATTTATAATTATATTTCTTAATTGTACTTGCGTTTGCTCTCCTCAGCAACTTGCAATGCTCTTTGCTGTGGTCACTGCAGTTAATCACAAGCATAGACTGATTTTATTTCCAATTGTTTTGTGCGTTCACAGCTTTGCTTTGTTAAAGAAATTACTGACAACTGAATTTGTGTGAAAATAGTTTTAAAATATTTGTTAGAGGGCACAGATGTCTCTATCTGCTTTGATGCATGTAAACACACCATTTTAAGTAATAACTCGTAAACTAGTTTGCAAAAATGGATTCTATATCTCAAGATGATAACCAAAAACCAGTTGTCAAAAGATTGAAAAAAAGAAATTAAATATGGATGTACAAAATGTGAATACAAACTCAAGAAATTTAAAACTGGTCTGTCACCTCAGCTTCAAGAAGCAGTTGTTCTCAGTCCTCTGCTCCCATCCTTGCATCCACTGGAAGCAGATGCTCATGTATATCACAAGTTGTGATATGCAGTCACACAGGCTGAAAGCAATGAAACTGAAAATTAAATTGTCTTCAAGTGAAGGGAATACTGCAAAGTACCATGAAATTGCACTTGCAATAAATGAATTAATGATAACATACATTAATACTGAAATTATTTTATTGAAACCTAATTGTGAAAGAGCAACTTTCCAAAACACAGATAAAATAGTACCAATAATGAATCAGAAAATTAGACTGTGTGTCAGCAATGATGCATAATTCATCCACAAGCCCGATGCAAGCTAAGATTCTGTTGTAACACCACCAATAGTTATATGCTTTTGAAGCAGAACAGAGCACAAAGCTGCAGGAGGCCATGTGTTAGTCAGTGATCAATATAAATAAAAATGTTTTAATACTCTTGTCTTAAAATTTTCTTGCCATCCACGTAATTTGTGTTTCCCCCTTCTGATGGCAGGGTGCTTTCTGGAAAAATCAGAGAATTTTGTTGCTGTGGAAAAGTTAGGAAATTTTGAAGGGATATAAAAATAGATATTCTTTGAAAACACTACTGTGATATTTTTTGCACAATTTGTATTTGTTGATTAAAATATTGATAATTTGTATGAAATAACAGCTAACAATTAGTGTCAGGGTAGCTTTAATATTTTCTTGAAGTAGTGTGAATTTAATCTTATCAGGGAAACAAATGCACAGGGCCAGGGAAATTAGTTCCAGGGAATGAGTGAATGTCCTGGAAGGTTTATTTTTATAATACATTCTCTTTATGATTATGATTATAAAGTCAATGTGCGTAGTTGTTTTCAGTCCATTGTGTTCCTCGTATTATGGGGACTGGTAATAACGAGAAGTGAAATGCAATGAATTTAATTTCTCTGGAATGGCATGTGGAACTATGTAGTTAGCAAAGAAATTGTCAACTCAATCTCATTATTATTATTATTATTATTATTAAAGTCATAATAATCAGAGCAGTGTTATGGCAGGAAAGTAGAATTATGTATGTGCTCAGTAAGACTGCAGAAAGAAAAGAAGAGATAATAATTTCTTTAAATTGTTTAGAAGTGTGAAATATTAAACACAGCCATACTACAATAAATTATGAAAATACTCTTGTAAGTTTGGCTGAAAATGCTGCTAACTATTATACTTTTTTTTTTCTCATGAATGTTTCAGATTGCTATGCAGTAATGCCTCCATACGAAACGTTTTTACAAATGGACAAACAAACTAGGCAGAAGCGTTTCTTGCAGGTGTGTATTGCAAAAATGGTTCAAAATTTAATTGTTTAAAGTTACTTTTGATACATTACTTATAAATAGACCAGATGTCACTTGAATATAATCCATGATAATTTTCAAGGAATAAACTGTTTAGCTCAAGGGCTGGAAATGCGTTTTATGTCATTGTAGATCTTGAAACTCTAAAATTTAAATTCAGTTCGAGGCAACTTGCAATGAATGGACACAACAAAATATAGATACAAATTTTAAACATAGGGTCTCAAAGTTGTTTATCTCCTTTACTTGTCGAAAAATTACTTAAGATACAGAAAATCATTTATGCTTGCTTAATATTTTTAAACTTTGCTTTATTATAGAACTTGAAGAGAGGTGATATCGTCATCTGCTCCATCACGGGGAAGTCTGTGCCGGGAATGATGTTGAAGGTGTTGTGCACAGACGGAGAACATGGAAGATATGCTGCGGATCTGAATGTGAAGGTATTGTGTAATTTTTAACTTACCCGTTACCATATACTCCATCGATATTGTGCTAGAATTGCCAAAATTTGAAATTTAACCTTGATCACCTTTTTTTTCTCCAAAATGTGGAGTTCCTACTGCACAATATTAAATTTTGTGATTCTGCTGTTAATAATAAATAATAATTCGTCATAAAATAGTATTTAAACAGAAGTTTTATAATTTATTTCTAACAGTTTTAATTATTCAAATTTTATTTGTAATACTTATATTGATATTACTCGTGCAACTTTCCTTGAACAATGACCTTGCTTCCCCCTCTTTGGCACCATAAACAGATGAAGGCAAAAGCTAGCAGCAAGCACTGATGACAACATTCCAAACACATCTTCTCTGGTGTGAAATAGAAACAATAGTCTTTTGAAGACGAGAACTTCTGTTATTTTCTCCAAAAATCTAAAGAAATGTCCAAAGCAGGTACGGATCTACCTCGAACTCCAGATAAAGTTAGAATGCAAATTATTGCGAACATTACGAAGGCGTGACTGATTCTCCGGAGATTGGCATTACTTCATAAAATCTAGTGGCCGATTTCGTAACTAATACCCCCACTCTACCTGCATTTCTTCAAACCATCGGTCAAGAGAAGTTGCGCGAGTAATACTAGCACTTACAAATTATTTCATTCATTGGTTCATCATTTACTTTTGAAATCTTCATTGGTTATCTATTGGAAAGAAATCTTTTTACAGCTGAAATTTATTTTTACGACAAAACGAATTTCATCATTATGCCTGCAAATTTGATTCCCTGATGATTCTACAAATTAAGGGTTGTGTTAAGTGTGGGCTCTTGTAAATCTCTGAATTATTGTCATCATGAAATACAGTTTTTAAGTTGGATATATATATTGGTGTTAGGGGGAAAAGAATTCTAGAAAAGGAAGTTAAAATCTTATAGTGGTACTTATTATATTTTCCTAACATCATCTAATCCTTACTTCTTGGCACAATAGTACACACAGAATAAATGTGTGAATATAGCATTCACTGATATTCAACCCACAAAAATATACCTAAAACGCACACTACACATCAAATAAAACTTTCTAAAAGTCATGATACGTCGCCAAAAACCAATAATCTCTTAACACTAGTAAACAGTGGTTTGTTGCAGAAGTGCACAGTGCCACCATGGTACTTAATTGCAGGTCCGTTTAGGGACCTATGAGAGATAGAAAGCTTTAAAGGTTACATAAGTCTGATTGGTTGTTCTAGAAACACTTTTTGTGGCTATTTACTATTTTATATCACCAATAAGCTTATGGATTCCATATTGAATGTGTATGCAACCAGCCATATGTGGCAAGTCTGAACAGCTAGCCCAGCCCGAAGACATTAGAAAACTAATTATGTAGTGTGAGAAAGTCTGTGCTATTCTGTAGCAACAGTAGTTAAAACTGCTCTTATGTATTCTTACTGCAGAACTGACATCCTGCCCCTAAGTTTCTCTAAAAAATCTATCTAGCAGTGATAACACTTTCCGATTTCTTGCTCCCATTTTTGCATCCAGAACATGCATAGTGGAGAAGAAGACACTACTAGTCATCCACGCACTACTTTTTGCCTCATTTGGTTAGTAAATTTTTGATGTGTTTAAAACACCTTGGCTTTGTAAATTTTCCTATTACTAATGGTGGTAATTGTTTAGAGCCTTCAGCATTCACTGTTTACTAAACAGTTACCCATTGTTTGTTGAGTTTTCCACCATGGCACTTTTCACCTTCGAAACACAATATCTTACTTGGCATAATATTATAAAAAAAGTCCAGTTTCATCAACATTGAAAATGTTTTTTCTATTGAAGTCCTGGATAATTAAGACAAGTTCCATGTTTCCATTCGGTAATGGTATTCCTACCAACAATTCAACTTTCCCCACGCACCTGGTTGTAAACAATATTATGGCAGGTCTTGAAGTGATTGATCCATCCATTTGCTGCTAACTGAGCAATCCCTAACTGCTGCAAACTGGAGGGCTTGCGCTTGCAAAAGGTTGCCATCAAGCGGAATACCTGATGCCCTTGTGGCAGTAAACCACTCCGCCACAAGTTAAATGCTGTAAATTACAAAAACTATTGAAATGGTGTTAATCTGCTCAAATTTTCATAAACCATTTCTACCAAGCTCATCCCAAATATGTCCAGCACTAGGTTGAATAGTATCTGAGATAATGGGTCAAATGTACTGCCAAATTAACATGGGAGATGCAGCTTTGTGTCTCCCCTTCAGTATAAAATTATTTAATGGATGTAAAAGGAACGTCTCCTTGAGTTTATACATGACCCAGCGAAATTGTCTGTTGATCATAATACACAGATGCAAAATAACAATAAATACTACTATCAGTTAAAGAAATCTAATACTAAATTGATGATGGATATCCTTTTGTTCGATATATCATTAAATGGAAAAGTTTGCACTTGATAAGTTGAGCCTTCTTACTTCACACACTTTATCGACACACTTGAAAATTAAGCAATTTATACTCACTGCAATTTCATTATTATACAATTAGTATATCCCAGTAATGAAATTTTATTTGTATTTATTACATTTATTATGACACTGTTTTATTTTGTTTGGTGTGGTTAAAGTATTGCATGTTAATTACAACTACAGAAATGATGTAGATTGAAGATGATGTATACCAAAAGAAATTGAAGTATGCAAGTGTACAATCAAACAAATAATTGTCAAAAATTAAACTTTTTACTTTTATTAAAAAATTTCACTTTTTTTAAGGAGAGCTGTCTTAAAATATTGCAATTCTATGATTCATTTACACTTTCTTGTGACACACGTGCGCGTAATGCTGTGCCCAAAAAACATAATTTTTCGACAGAAAGAAACATATTGTGTAGCCCTGATAGAGAAAAAATAGATAAAACCTCTTCTAATATGTAGTAAATTACTCCCTCTAACACCTAAACTATTCGTATGATTTTTTTCAAAATGAAGATTCGCGAACCAAGTAGGTTCCACTCAACCGCTGCAAATTTTGAAAAACTATTATTTTGGGGTACTTTATATGAAGCCCCTTATTAAGGTGTTATAAAAAAATTTGTCAAAAATGGCTCTGAATTTTTTATTTTAATTTTTTTTTGTAAGAAGAGTAAAATTCCCTTCTAAAGGTGGCATAGGGCTGATTTTCACTATTTCAAATTTTCACAGATCTTTGAATTTTCAAAAATTGCAAAAGTTTGAAATTTTTCTGGTGTCTTTCCTACAATTACAACATTGAAGATGGAGATTTTACCTTCAAATGAAATTTATTCTCCATATTAATTATATCTATAAGGTCATGTACATTGTTTGAAACTTTTACTAGTTTTTGCGCACTATTGCATGCCAAATGAGCAATATTAAAAATTAAAATAATAAAAAAATTCTCAAAAACAGCACCAAAAATTTTGTTAGTTAGAATATTCCTAATATACTCGTAGATGACATAAACCACATTTTGCTCTATTCTTTTGTTTTTGAAATGCATGAGAAAGAAATATAAAATTACAATTTGGTAAACGGCTACAACTTGCCAAGAATTAAATGGACGTTTGATAATATTGGCACATCCATTGTTTCAGAATCTGTAAGCTATAATAATCTGTTTCGTATAGATCAAAAATTGAATGATAGTTAGGAGACTTTATACCTGTGTTTTTCCAAGGATGCAGATTCCAGGGTCAGTGAAATAAGAGACCCAATAATTAAATGCAATAAATACCAACCAGGTTTACTAATTGAATTAAATCTAAAATTGAATCTGGTATTATGGGTATGAGTCCTGCCTTTAATTTTTGGTTTACTACTACTCATTTTATTATGAATGACTTAAAAGTAAGCTGGATGGTGATGGATACTCTCCCCTTTAGGATGCTTTTCTTTTTTTTTTTTCTATTTAAAGAAATTAATCACATTAAAGATACAGTAGTGATGGATCCAAAAATGCTATTTTATGATCATGTTAATTATATAATTATTGAGTCCTAAAACTATTAGGTTTTATAAAAAGACAAACATAACACTGAAAAACAATTGATACAATACTGAATTTGTATAATTCATTAGTAAAATTGATGTACTGCTCAGTAGTGGTCTCCAAGTGTAATTAAGGACTGAAAAGAATTAAGAGTCTGTTCAACATAGATTTTTCAGATGCGCACCATTCAAGATTTTAAAAAAGTCAATTTATTACATGATTATAATGATATTACTCTGAAAACAAATTTACCATCACTACAGTCTTCATGTATATTACAGGATATTACATTTAAGTACCAACTTAAATGTTAAAATTAATTGTCCACTATTATGAGACTTATTTGTTCGCTACAATAATGCATTTAATACAAGAAGAAATATCTTATTTAAGGAAATATTTTGCAAATAAGAAAGTTACTACTATTCATCAATACCTCAATGAACAAGATATTGAAATTAATGTTTTAGTGATAAAGAAAAAGGTATGACCGAATCATAGTCTCATACCACTGAGTGTTCCCTTAAGTAGAATCGTATTCATAAACAACCCTGAGTGAAGCCTTAATAGTGCAGCACTCATTCCTATAAAGCAAGCACCTGCTTCCTTAAAGTGTCCCTTTATGGCTTCCTCCATCATCGTCGTAACCAGTTGTAGGTTATACTTTTACCCGCAATTCACCGACTATTGAATTCATTTTGCTTGTTTTTGTTATGTGTAGCCAGTTAAAATCTATCATTTGTGAAACATGTTATGGAAAACGACTTCAATAATTATTATTGACGTTTATACTCAACACATCCAAATTCTGTGAGATATATTAGAGATAACGAGCAACCATTGGAAATGTACTAGAATATGATTGAAATGAAATAGATGGATGAACAATCCCGAAAGCGGTTTCGTTTCAATAAAATCTACTGTAGTGGGTACACTTGTCCGATGGATCGACATAAGTCCCAATGACTGAAAAAGGATTGCGCATTTCCCCCTTAA